ATCTTTTGTTGTTTCTGAAACTGGTTAATTTCTATTGATCTGTTCTTAAGTTCAGTAAACTTTTCTCCTAGTACCCCTACCTGTTAAACTCATCCAGCCACTCTCTCATTTTAGATATAATACATTTCAATTCTACAGTTCTTTTTTTTTTTTTAAAGATTTTATTTATTTATTGTGTATACAACATTCTGCTTCCATGTATATCTGCACACCAGAAGGCACCAGATCTCATAACGGATGGGTGTGAGCCACCTTGTGGTTGCTGGGAATTGAACTCAGGACCTCTGGAATAGCAGTCAGTGCTCTTAACCTTTGAGCCATCTCACCAGCCCTCTACGGTTCTTTTTGAGACAGAATCTAACTGTGTATATATCCCTAGCTAGCCTGGAACTCATTATTGTAGTCCACTGTGTTCTCGAGCTCCTAGAGATTTACCTGCCTCTGTCTCCTAAAAGCTAGTCTGAAAAGGACATGCCACTATACCTGGTAATTTTACCTTTTTTCTTTTTATAATTATTTTCTGCTGAGAGTGCTCATTCCTTTACTCATTACTAATACTTCCATTGAATCCTTGAAATAGATTTAAAGTCTATTTCTAGCATGTAGACTATCTACGGCACACCTGCATTTTTCTCTCTTGACTATGTTTCCTGTTTCAAGCTGTCTTTTTGCAAACAGATTTAATTACCATCCCTTAAACATCTGTATTGGTGATTGATCTCCTTCAGCTACAATTTGTTGGTGCTATATACTGTTTTGCCGTTTTTTTTTTTTTTTTTAAACAAATTTTCAGTTACTGCTTCCCATTGTCTTCCCTCAATGTTTCTTCTTGCCTAAGCATCTGAAGTCAGTTAAGAATTTCAGGCAGTTCACATGCAATCTGAAGGATCCTTTTCTTGTTTCCTCAATTTCCAGTCTTTCTGGAAACCTCGATCCTTTGACACCTGAAGCCAAACAATCGTATGTTTTTACATAAATTTAGTTATCTCACACTACAGTGTTTTTGTATGTCTCATGAAAACAGAAATCTTAGCCAGAATGATTCTTTCATTTCAAGGGTCTAATTCTTCAGAGTTAGTTGTCTAACATTATGAGTGTTAGTTTATACCAAATTCTCCATTATTACCAGAACTCTGTGTGTGAATTTAAAAGATAACCTCTCAGACAGCCCAGGCTGCCTTTGAATTCATTACATAACCAAGTAATTACCCTGAACTTGTGATTCTCCTGTCTCTATTTCCTAAGTGCTGGGATACAGATGCAGGTCACCACTCCAAGTTTATGTCTTTCTGGTGATGAAATCAGGACTTTGTGCATGTTACCTTGAGCAATCTACCAACTGAACTACATCCCCAGTTTTCATGTGTCTATTTGTAAAAAACATAATTTCATCCCTTTAGTTGCTTTTGCCCAAATCCTCAAAAATGTTCTTTTCCCCACTCATATTCAATTCCTGAACAGATTCTGAGTACTTACTATCTTTGAAGTAGATTCAGAATGTGATTGCTTTTACTACCCCTATTGCTACCAAATGGTCCAAGCCAGTATCTTCTGTGCCTTGAATTAGTGTAATTTAAAAAAATTGGCTTATTGTCTATCAGTACTAACCTGTAAGTTGAGTAAAAGCCTGGGTTTTAGTATGTCTTCTTCACTACTGTTCTGTCCTGCACCTCTGGCACATAGTAGGCACCCAGTAAAATATGTTTAGCTGAAAATATTTGCATAATTGAATTAATGATTTATTTTGTTCTTCAGCTATTAAGAAAAACAAACAAACAAACAAAAACCCTGGAGAGCTTCATGTTGGAAAACATGAGCTGGCGAAAGTCCAGTGAACCTAAATGTACTACTGACTGTGTATGTTTATAGAAGCTGTATAAACTGTCTGATGTACCTATAGAAATATGTCTCAAGAACACACAAAATCTAAGCATGTATCACCAAAGTATTTCAAAGATGGGATTATTAAAATTTTTACTTATAAACTTGTTTAAAGCGTCAGAATCTAGAGTGGTAGTTACTGAAGTAATTATGGCGACAGTGTAGTTGGAAGACCTAATGTTTTTTGAAGAATATTTACTAACTGCTTTTATGCTAGTAATGTGATTGTTACCACTAAGAATCTTAAAGAGCAGGGGAAGAGAGACGAAATGTGCTAGATGTTCCTATTAAACAGGCAGCAGAGTGGCTAGAGACCTAAAATGACTTCAATGAAGAGTTGACACAATCTGAGGCTTACAGGACATCAGATCACAGACCTGAAGAAGGAAAGATCTCTATGTAGAGTACATACAGAACCAGGGACATAAAACTGTATATTAAAGAAACGTTAAGAGCTAGTCTGGTGAAGTCCTGTATAATGAATGCAAGGTGGGACTGTATGAGACTTGAAGAAACTGGAACATCAGCAGCTCATTCCACTTCATTACATAACAGAAGGTAACAGAATTTAAAGACAGCACTCACCTCTATAAAAAAATCTGTCAAGGTGTTAAGGACTGATCACTAAATATCCGAGAACACTCATTTGCCACATTAATTTTACTCACTATGAGTTGCTTACTATTGCTTCTTAGCAACTTCCTAAGTAAGTAGCACAACTTGAGAAAAAAAAAATCTTTAAAGTGGATAAAATTCTATTAATTCTTCATACAGCAAATTGGGAAGACAGCCCATTATTGATTCAGAATACATTTATCTATCAGGAAGATTAAGTGAAAGACAATGATTCACAACTATGTGACAGAAACTTTGGGAGGTATTTTTTCAGACATCAAAATTTACTGTTATAGTAACTGTAGCAACAGAAAGCAATTACCGGGTTAGGCCACCAAGAAAGTATTAGAAGACAGACTTAAGCAAAACTGCTGAACAACTAGCAAATATGAAGCCCATGCATTTGATTTGTGGGGGAAAGTCCTTACATCTCTAGTCAAGCCTTTGCTCCTATATGTAATTTTAACAAATGTAGTCCCTGCACCTTAATTCATAGTACATTAGCAGTAAGAAATAAAGGCTGATGACAGGGAAGGGGAATACGACACTTCACTGACAGCCTAAGAAATTTAAGGTGACAACCTGATTAAAAGACGTGAGAGAGAAGCTCTGTACAGCAAACACATGAACAAACACAAAAAGCACAGTTTAAGATGTTCAGCTGGGGAAAAAAAGCACTTAGCTGGGGAAAACAGTTGTACTCAGTCTTAGGGACTCTGAAAATGCAGTGACTAGGGGACTATGTATAATTAACATTACCAATGATCACCTCAAGTCAGCCAGAAAATTTAACTTACATTCAATGGGTTCTTTTTTAGAAGGCAGGAAAGTATGTAATACATTTTGGAAAAATCCATTAAAGTAGTTAAAACAACAAGCATGTATGCTTAGAACTGCATGCTTTGGTAAACAATCTCATTTGTGTATTTCCTCCAACACAAAACAACAAAGCTCTAATATATCCATCTGTAAAGTTCCAATAGTCTAATCCTATGAAGTCTATCCCTTAACATCAGTGGATAGGACAAAGGCTGAACTTGACAACTTAGGTGTACTTTGAGCCTATGAGGTCCATGAAATTCCTATGCAAACTATGTGTATATATGTAGAGTTCTCAGAAGAAAGGCACCATCACTATCATCTAACGTTATAACCAGCAGACTTTGTGATACTGGCTTGGACTAGACAGTGCTTTAACTGAGGAAGAAATAACTTGTTTATTCACAGAAAATGACTAATTTACCTTACATTTTATTTCACTGCACTATTGTTATTATTACTATTTTTTGTTGTTGTTGTTGTTTCTTTTGAGACAGAGTCTCTTCTTATGTAATCTTGTCTGTCCTAGAACTCACTATGCATAGACCAGGCTGGCTTCCAACTTTGTCTCTGCTAGGATTAAAGGTGTGCACTACCATGCCTGGCTTAATTTTACTATTAATATCAACATAATAAACAACAAAACTATCCATAAGTGAGAATATTTATTTATTTGGTTTTTCAAGACAGGGTTTCTCTGTGTAACAGTCCTGGCTGTCCTGGAATTCACTTTGTATAACAGGCTGGCCTTGAACTCGTAAGAGATCTACCTGCCTCTGCTTCCCGAGTGCTGGGATTAAAGCCCTGCACCACCACACCTGGCAGGTGAGAATATTTATATAAAATTCAGTATAAGCCAGAATTCTGAAACATTCAAAGTTAGCTTTAAAAACACTTTGGAAAGGCAAGCCTACTGATCTTTAGCTACATATTTATATACTATAACAAACTATCTGGGTGCCTAAAATGCAACACATTCTAAAAAAATTCTTACTAATATACTTGGATATATAATATATACATATACCTATGTATATTCATTCATTCTGGGTAAGCTGCTTTTATATGTTTATATACACAAAATTTTTTTTCTCTTAGCTGATACAGTAATATATGTCAGTAGTTCCTGCTGTTTGGGAGGATGATACAAGAGGATTGCTTAAGCCCAGAGTTCTGGGTCAAGACCCCATCTCCTTAAAATATCTCTTCCCAATCATTCTACTACTCAGCAATCTTAGTGAAGCACTCTATATTCTCTTAAAGTATCCCATGTCAGGTGATTATGCCGTCATTGTGGGATTTATAGGAGAAGCATGCTTTCTTCTTCTCTACCCCCTACTCCCCTCCAGTAGGCACTTACTGATCAGATTTGATGGGACTTCAAAAACTTCCTGAACACCCTGGCAAGCCGAATGTTTGTGGTTGCTAGCTACTCTGTTAAGCCTGTACCTTTCTGTTTTTATTGCTATACTGTCTTACCAAGTCCAGTTGTTTTACTCTCAAATTGATTTATGCAGGTTTTTGTGTTTTAGTTTTATTATGCCACACAATGTGATAAAACAAGCACTCCAGTTTAGTTTTTTGTGAATCTGTGAGAAAATCTGAACCATTCACTGTGCAGTGATTCACTGCAGCCCCAAGAACCAGCAGAGTAAAGCCACAATAAATCATAAACACAACCCTACCTGGCTGTTTGTGGTAGGTGAGCTCTCTGCTTGTCAAGCAGAACCATCGTTTCTTGAAATTCTTTTTTCCAATACGGGTTCTTCCTTGAGCTCTTTTATACATCTCACTGCCAACATAACAGACATAAAATAGTCTCAGAGATTAAAATTGTTCACCCGAAACAAAGAATTGACCCTTACTATTAGAGGACAATGGTAGTCATGTATAATTGTTAGTGTATGACAGTGACTTCCACTGATGACTCATGTATTTTTACTTAGGCCACACTGATGGAATAGTCTTTAATTAATGTAGGGTTGTTTTATTTAGTTTTACTTTTAGGTATGGTGTTTAGCCTGCCTATCTATATGGGTGCAATACCAGCTCAAGTCAGAAGAGGGCATCAGATCCCCTGGAACTGGAGTTACAAACAGTTGTGAGCTACTATGTGGGTGCTGGGAATTGAATACAGGTCCTTTACAAGCACAGCCAGTGCTCTTAATCACCACACCATCTCTCTAACCCTAAGTAATGTAGTTTTAAAACTTCTACACAGAATAAAAAGGATCAGGTAAGTCATTTCCATCCCACTAGCTCCTAGAAATAACCACTCTTAAGGCTGACCAGAGCTCTCTCTTAACTATAGAACCCCGGGACTGTACAGTCAGTGAGTGCCGCCCTATGACCTGGAGCTGACAGGTAGAGCGGGTCATTTACCTGACTGCAGAAGCTTAGGAAGTTCTGGAACAGAATGAAAACTCAGGTTTCTTCACTCTCAGACTCATGTTCTTTGTACTTACTGTCTATAGTGAAACAGAACTGTCATGTCTCATTTAATTAATTACCCTTCTTTTAGGTGCACAGGCTCACTCGTACCACTGGACTCTTTAGTTTCCGTAGATGAAATTTCATCTAAGAACTAAATGGGGAAACGGAAAGTATTATGGTATGTGGGAAAATAAGGTATATCATAAAAAATTGTCTTATCTTATACATCATTGATTATATTAGGAAATTCTTAATTATTAAAGAGTATATATGATGCAAGTTGAGAATCTTTTTTTATACAAAATGCTCAGGACCAAATTGCTTTAGATTTAGGGTTCTGAAATATTCTCATATAGCAAGATATCTTGGATACTGGATTCATGTCTAACCAAAATTCATACACATAGACCAAAGTATTTTTACTAAATACACAGTATTTTTACTAAACCTGTATTTTGTGACCTATCACATGAGGTCATGTGGAATTTTCCATTGTGACATCATGTCCATTCAAGAAGTTTTAGATATTCCAATATTTCATATTTTAGACCATCTTGGATTGAAGAGGCCCATTCTACAATTATCTATAAAATAAAATACATTTGATATAGAAAGTTCCTAATTTATAAATGAAAGGTATTCTAAAAAGTTTATTCTTTACTTATTCAAATTCTGAATGGATTTCTCTATAGAAACAGCTCAATGTATAATCCTTAACTGTAATTCTTTTTGAGACAATATCTTACTATTTCTGAGGCTAGACTTAAACTCACTGCAATCCTCCAGTCTTGGCCTCTTTAGTACTAAGATTACAGGCATATACCACCATAGCTAGCACTTATCTATATTTTTGCTAACCATAAGGCCTTGAATACAAAGAATTTACTAATGCAAATTCACCTAAAATATTTCAACAATGTTTCCCAAATAAAAGTGTTATTTTTAAAATTTCTCAAGACCCTTCAACAATTGCTTTAAAAAAAAAGTTTTAGGTGAATTTGCATTGTTTTAGATAAAAAAATAAAAATCTAGACTCGGCATAGTGGTACACAGCTTTAATCCCAGCACTTGGGAGGTAGGCAGGGGATATTTGTGAGTTAGATGCCAGCCTGGTCTACAAAGTAAGTTCCAGGACAGCCAGAGTGGGACTCTATCTCGAAAAAACAAAACAAAAATCTATCTGGTGCCAGAATTTTTACTTATGGAGTCCCTGTGGAAGTATTTTAAAAGTCCAAACATATACTTTAATAAAAAAAAATGTGTTCTTGGCCATCAACTGCTAAATCACACTATAGAAATTGAAAAAGACTGTCCTTGCTAATTTGGTTCACTGAGTTAGGATTGTGATAATGAAGACACAGTACTTTCCTCAAGTTTAGTTTAGATTTATTTAAAAACAATTTTTTGCCAGGTGATAGTGGCACACACATTTAGTTCCAGCACTCGGGAGGCAGAGGCTGGAGGATCTCTGTGAGTCTTGAGGCCAGCCTGGTCTACAGAGGAAGTTCCATGACAGGCTCCGAAGCTACGAGAAACCCTGCCTCAAAAAAAACAAAATTTTTTTCTTCCTAAGTTTTCCAGAATTATAATACTGTATTTTAAATGGATGACTAAGGAGTTAAGGACCAAGAAATTAAAGGCTTAAAAAAATATTCCCAGTTTCTAATCATATACCTTTTCACATGTTGTAGGTCTTACGTTACCATGCTATATACTGCAGGCATTTGCAAATTTTTATTTTTAGTTACTTTCCTCCAATTACTAACAAAAACACTCAGTAATTCATTGAAAACAGTATTTTACATCTTTATTATTTTGTGTGGTTGTGTATGGGAATGTGTGGGCCACAACATGCATACGGAGGTTAGAGGACAACTCGTGTGGAGTTGGTTCCCTGCTTCCAACCATGTGGATCCCAGAGAGCAAACTCAGGCCATCAGGCTCCACAACTTATGCCTGTACCTACACAGCCATCTTGCTCGCCAATTTTGTCTTATTGGGGCAACTGAGTACCCACTCTACTACACAACAAGTGCTATTAGGCTTTAGTCCTGGATCAAAGGTTCTTTTTTGTTTTTTTGAGACAGGGTTTCTCTGTGGCTTTGGAAGCTGTGCTGGAACTCGCTCTAGGGTGGCCTCACAGAGATCCGCCTGCCTCTGCCTCCTGAGTGCTGGGATTAAAGGCGTGCGCCACCAACGCCTAGTGAGACCAAAGGTCTTAACAAAAGGTAATTATGTCCTCTAGGGGACACACCTAGGAATAGCTAAAAGCACTTCGGTCTTCAAAACTGGGGATATGCTACTGGCATTAAATTCAGGGATGTTGCTAAATACCTTACAATGTAAAGGCTAGCTCTTAAAATCAAGAACTCCCCAGCTGCAAATGTTAACAGTGTTGTAGCTGAGAAAGCTAACCCTAGAAATCTGCAAGAGCAGTTATTGTTAAGACTTGCTTATTTCACAGCTTTAAAGACAGACTACTTGATTGACAGTTTAAACACTTTTTTTTTTTTTTTAATTAATTGGAGACTGACTTCTCGGAAGAATGAGACATTCATTTTCTTATCCTGGATGACAAGAAAGTTTCCTATTTCCAAAATGAAACAACCATACCTTTTTCACGTCTGTAAAATATCTTTCTTCTTGAAACATTTTGAGAAATTCACACATGACTGACTTTTTGGAACGAGACTATGAAAAAGAAAAACAAACAAAAAAATCAGAGGATTTGTATATGTTAAATATGCACAGCTTCTTCAGGTGTTAGTTGTAACTCCACAAAAGGGGTCATGAAAAATGTGTCAATAGAAGGTTTCACAAAGCACAACAGTAAGAACTAATTCAAAATAAAACATGTCACAACTGTGACACCTATGTTGCATGGGAGCACATCACTACAGATTTACCTCTGCTCACACCACACGTATGCTTTGCACCAGGCATGCTAACACATCACACATCGCCAATCACTGCTTCCTGAAGACCTGAGCACACAGATCTGGGCTCTGGTATATTAGGAACAGAGCTGTTTTTGCCAAACATGAAGGCATTTGCTCTAACAGAAACATAATGATTTAATTACAGGAAACAAAGACTTATAATATTTTCCCACATCATTAGTAAACATGTATCAAATCAGTAGTTTTGGACTTTATTATATTATAATGTTTGATTTAACTGCTTAAGTTGCTGACTTAAGTTTCACTAAACAAGCAAACATATTCCAAAACCAAACAAAACCACCAAAAACTGTAAGTAAATTCTGGCTTGAGAGTAGGACAGAATTTCCAACAATTTTTAAAATGGTCTTAAATACACTTCTGCCATTGTGTTTATATAACATACTTTTAAAAAATATACAAGTATGCTGGGCATTGGTGACTCACGCCTTTAATCCCAGCATTTGGGAGGCAGAGGGAGGTGGATCTTTGTGAGTTCGAGGCCAGCCTGGCTGTGAGCCACCATGCAGGTGCTGGTAATTGAACTCAGGGCCTCTGGAAGACCAGCCAGTGCTCTTTACCATTAAGCCATTGCTCCAGCCTCCTGTCAAATATTTCTGTACTATATGCCTATGCAAACTGAATAATCATAAAATCAAAATATCAAGTTTAAAAAACTATATCCTACAGTATCAAATACTCAACTAATATTTATTTTATGTAAACATAAAAGTATATCCATCTCATTAGTATATAAATTTGCTTTTTGTCTTTAATAAATGGTAAGATTATATATACAAATAATTTATTTAAAATATCTTTGACCAATACACCATTGATAGATCTGTAAGTCTGCTGCAAAGTGGAGTCTGAGTCTGACTTGGCAGGAGGGGGAGAAAGCAAAGGGGTAGACCAGCCTGGGCGGGATATCTGACTGTATGTATGTTTCTCTTATTGGATGATGAATAAAACACTGTTGGCCAAAAGGCAGGAAGACAGGCAGGGCAAGGAGACAAGGAGAATTCTGGGAAAGGTAGGCAGAGGGAGCCTGCCAAAAAGAACAATTGCCATGTAGTCGACATTATCCAGTAAGCCAAGACCATGTGGAAACACATAGATTAGTAGAAATGGGCTAATAATTAAGACAGAGCTAGCCAGTAAAAAGCCCTAGTCATTGGCCAACAGTTTTATAGTCAATACATTGTCTCTGTGAGTTAATTTGGGGCTGTGAAGGGTGGTGGGACCTGGCAGACAAGAGAAATCTACAGCAACACCAGTCCCAGCATGCACATACCGCTTGCTGGTTAGAGCATCTCTCTGCCACTGTAGAGTCCTCTTCTAAGTTATGTCAAGATCATCTGTTTCTGCTGGTTTCTGCCACCCACAAAATTTGATTCCAAATTCTAGAGTCTGATTCTTCAGCTGCAGCTTTCCTCTACCTGCTTTCTAACCATTTGCTTTTTGTCTCTCTGGACTCTGGCCTGATATGCCCTACACGTGGGCACTTACCTATCTATCTCCCTGGGTCCTGCAGTCTGCTACACCTTTTGGCCTTCTACATCCATGTGGACATCTCCCTTTTCTCCTGCTATCATCTCTATCTTGAGAGACCTAGGCCCCAGAAAATCTCTGGTCTGCAGCCCCATACAGACCCTGAATGGTTTGGCCCCAAGCCCCAACCCAGTGAAAGAAACACACCCTGGATTCGGGACCTGAGCCAACTTAAGAGACATTTTATCCCTAAGTCTAGAGCCAGGGGAAAAAAAAAAAAAACCAGAGCCAAAAGAACACACTAGACTGGGGACATGTAAAAGAAATTCACCCAGGCCCTAGAATTGGAGCCAAAAAGAACCACAGAAAGAAACACAGTTTGGCCCTGGAACTAGAGCCATCTCTGCCTCAAAATTAGCCAATCCCTAAGCTGGAAAAACTGACCAATCCCAGGCTAGCAGGCTTGGAATTCCCCCTGGGTTTAGAATCTTCCCCAGGCTAGGGATTCTCCTAGATTGGGGGCAGCCAAAAAGCTCAGTCCAGGCTTGAGCCAATCCCCAGCCAGTAGCTAGGCAGGTTTGGAGTTCCCCAAGCCTCTCCCTCATGCCTGGGTACTATATAAAAACCCCCTTCCCTCCATGCTCTGGGTCTTGCCTGCTCTGCTCCTGTTGTGCCATTGTTGTTGCTGGTGCTGCTTCAGACAGACAGAGGGACCTAACGGAACCCACAAATAAAGATTCTTTGCTTTTGCTTTGGAGTCAGGTTCTGGATTTTAGGCTTAACACTGCTATGCCCTTGGGATGTCCACCATGTATGTGGGCAACTTTCTACTTGGATCTTTTGGCTCTGGACTATTACACCCTTTGGGTGTCTCTACCAAAGTCACTTACTGGTTGCCCTTTCCCCTGCTCTCTTCTAGCTTTCAGTCCCACTGCACTATGTCTTAGCTTCCCCCTGCCATCCTGAAGCTTCTGCTCCCTCAGCTCCCTCACAGAGCTTACAGAAATTCCCTCCAGAAGAATTTCTTTTTGCAATTCTCTTCTCTTTGACAGTTTGACCTTAAAACAGATCAGTGGTTAAAAAATTGGTGCACTTGTTTTCCCAATTCTCACAAATACTAACAACTACTATTGCACAAACAAATGACCCCCAGATATCTTACAGCTTGTTCCACTCTACACTTTTTCTACTTTCCATTTTAAAAAATCTTTTATCTTTACAATTTCTCTGTGCTCTGCTCTAAAAATGATCTCTTAAGATTATGCTGTAAACTCTACCTCAGTTCATTTGGTATAGTTTAATAAAATCTGTAACAAAATTTGGCTTTAAATTTATAATCTTAATTGCTACAGCATATTTTATGTGATTCAACTCTTGTTTAGGATATGTGTATGTAACTTGATTCAACTCAAAATGTGTATATAACTCAAATTCAACTCTCATTTTAAAAAAGGAGAGTTTTCTACTAGGAAAACATGTTTTTAGTTTTTAGATAGCAACCATGTTACCTTCCTCTATCTTCCTAATGATATAATGAGGATGTAAGCAGCCACATGGTGGGCAGCCATCTTTACTAAGGTTAAAAAGTATATGCCATGTGACTTAACCACCATCGTAAGATGACCATGTAGCACAGAACCAACAATTATAAAACTTCCCAGTCTTACTGCGCTCTCGAGAGGTCTAAATTTCCCCCATTTTACAAACAGATCTAGGTTTCAGTTTTTTAAAGAGCAAACAAGTTTCACTTCCTTCCTTCCTTTTTTTTTTGGTTTTTCGAGACAGGGTCCCTCTGTATTGCTTTGGAACCTGTCCTGAACTTGCTCTGTAGACCAGGCTGGCCTTGAACTCACAGAGATATGCCTGCCTCTGCCTCCCGAATGCTGAGATTAAAGGCATGTGTCACCAAGTTTCAGTTTCTTAAACAAAGGGCTATTAATCAAACAATAGCCCTGACAGCATGAACAAGAGAGAACATGCACAAGGCTTGAATCAGACCCACACTATTACAAGACAGTGACCAAATAAGGACAGTTCCTGTAATCCCCTGAAATGAGCCCACATTTGCCCAAATATGTCCAAAAATAAAATACTAGAAACTCAGCCTATCAAAAATGTATTAATAAAACTACCGCTTGCTTAACCCATTATGCTTGAGATGGCCTAAATGTTCCTAAAACTTCCCTAAATGTGCTTAAAAAGAGCTTGCATGCTCTTCTCATTTTGGACAGGTGAACAGCTATGCATATGCTGCATCAACAAGCACTCTTTGCTCTTGTGTACTATTTGAGATGGGGTCTTTTTTCAGCTTTTTCCTGGGCCCTACACCCTGTATCTCCTTTTTAGACTAAGGAAACATCAACAAGTCTCCAAAATATTTTAGGACTGGTTTGGAGTTTTATATGATGGCAAAAATTTATGGTTAAATACATATATGTGATTCAACTCTGGTTTAGAATAAACTGTATATGATAATAAAAATTTAAAGTTATAAAGGTCTACTCAGATTAGCAAAAGCTGATTTAAGATGTATTCTAACTATTTATGTCTTTGCTAACTGTTCAACACCAAGCTTCTAGAAAATTCAGATAAGTAAATGTTTGATAAATAAGGTAAATTTGATTAATAAGATTTATAAATTATGAAGATAATAGGTTGTTTATAGTCTGACAGTAGGTTTCTCTGCCGACATAGTAAGCCAGATCAAGCCAAATTGAAAAAGTAAAAGAACAAGTTTATTTGAGCAAAGCAACTCTCCCAGCTTGAGTTCTCCAGTCCCAGAGATTGAGGATGGAGAAGTCACACACCCAAACTAAAGCAAGGAGCTTATATAGCCTGTAGGAGAGGGGTGATGATGTGTCTGTCACAAGCTGGGTTTGTGCACAAGTATGGTCAAAAACTGACCACTTTAGGTAGGGAACTTGGGCTGATAGCAACTTCAAGGGAGGAGCTACCACAGCTGCCAAAAATTCGGAACTGGGATTTTTGTCACCTTTTCTTTGTTGGTGATTCTCTGGGAGGGCTGGGTTTGGAGAGAGAGAGGGACTGGACTTCTCAGACCATGCAGGAGCGAGCTGGAGGTCCTAACCAGTGTGAAGTCTATTGCTTGGTGTGATCTTTGTGGCAATTCTTGGCCCTCTGATTACCACAAAATACTTACAGTAGTAGTGGGGTCTGATGTATAAGAGGTTGGGTTCTACCACTGAGCTACAGCCCAGCCCTTCAGAAATTTCCAATTTCATGGGAAAGGAAGAAAGCAGGCAGGGAAAGATAAAACCCTAAGAGATGAGAGACCGTGATAAGGAAAGGTAATAATGTAAGGGTGAGGCCTCTAGGTCACAGGGGCTGCTCCCACGTCACTAGCCAAACAGGAATCAGCCCAGACTGGAAGTGTCCAAACACGCTTATCACAAATAAAAAATTGTATACACCTTTCTTCAGCAAGTTTCCCTATGTAACCTGGAACTTAAAACATACTGTACTGTGGATGAAGCCGTGTAAGTATTGTTGACAAGGGCACAGCCATGTCAAGGACCCTAGCACCTCAGACCCCTGAAAATGGCAAAACCTTTTGATTCAAGTACTAACGTTTAGGAGTGACCTTTATCTAAAACCAGAAACTACCAAATACAAGTTCCTCCTCCAGGAAGTTTACTGCCTGAAACTGCTCCCCTACCAGAGGCCTCCCATGGAGACTGACTAACCCCTTCCTTTTGTGCTATATACAATGAAGGGTAGACCTAGTTTACTGGTTAGTTAGTAGGTGCCCATACTCTTAAGGCTTCCAGCCTCCATATTCCCTACCAACTCCCATTTTCTCTGAGGATCTCAACTCTACTCCTGTCTTCATAGAGTAGGTAAGAAGCTGGCCACTATGCTGTTTCTTGGCTGACACAGCCAACTTTCAGAGAGCACATGGACAATCATATACATTGCTTTGGTTCCCCAAACCTCTGAGATCACAGATTTCATTTGTGTCAGGAAGCAAGTATGGCAGTGTTTTCTCCTCTTGGCTAATCAGTCTTAATTACTCATGGCACTTCACCTGGATGTCTTCCAGAGCCAGCTCTGTAGCTAAGGACTTAGTGCTATCTCACCTGTATTGTAGACTCAGATTTGGTCCTGGCACAGAAGCAAATGTAGGAGACTAGACTCTCCATGAGCATTCCCAGAGTACTTTCCACCCAGGGGTGGACTTCTGCCACACTCATCAGAAAGCCAGTGAACTCAGAATGGCCCAGGGTCATGGCTTCCAGGCACTAGTGGTTGGTCTTTACCCCCCACCCACACGCACACACACAGCACATGGTGTATCATGCTCAGCCCCTCCCTGAACATGACCAGGCTTAGTTCAATTCTGCTGCTTCCAGCTCTTGATAACCAAAGGTAATTCATGCTGGGTCAGTTGCTGGGTGCTAGCAAAGCCTATTCTTTTGTGAAGCCAGTGACCACAGTTACTCTATCAATCAGAAGATGGCTTTTCTCTCCTCTTTGCTCAATACTCTTGCCAAGAGAGGGACTGAGGAGCAATAAAGGTCCCTCAAAGCATGTGACACAGCTGTGAACATGGTAATCACTCTTTGGCCTTTTTCCTCTCCTGGATCTCAAACTAAATAAAAATTCAGGACAGCAGCTGCTGAAGCAAATAACAAAGATTCCCCATGGCATTGGATGCTGGGCATTTCAAAATGCTAAAATAAGTTATTATCAGTAAATGTTTGATTTACTGTATGGATTTTATATATCTGTATACCTAAGGTTGCATAAACATTTCTTGAGTAAAAAGGCTTCATGAGTGGAGAAGTTTATGAAGTCCTGAAGTAGAGCACTAAGAAATGATAGATTCTATTTTGAAGCCAAGGATCAAGCTAGTCAAATATTTCCATGAGTTATTCAGGTTGGAGCTGAAGACTTCTTTCAAAGCTGTTAGGTGACTGACACTGTGCCTGCCTGTGTGTTTTCTTCCTAGTTGCTCCCTTACCTTTGGTATATCAGGTTAAATACCACTGTCTCCTTCAATAGGCGACTACACAGAACTTTCACTAACAGTTATTGCCTCTGAATATGTACTCCTTTCAGTTTTATTTTTAATATGGAAGGAGGTAAGTGAAGAAGGAACCTTAGGGTATAATAAAATGTAGTAAGTATGAAAAGAAGGAAAAGTTATAGACTCACCTTTCTTCTGGATAGACTTCCCCAGTTTCCCAAAGTCTGTATGGTTTTTGAGATGAGAGTTAATGTCCTATTTGTCTGTGTATCCTAGAAAATGTAAAAATGACCACAATTCTTGTTAATTTTTCAAGAAGTAGAATTTATATAAAAAGCAGAATGGAGTAAATGGACTATATGGCTCTAAAATAGTAGCTAAAAAAAGTTCATTCAAACCAAAACAGTTAAAATGTAGCAAAGCCTAGGATAACTTACAGAACTTAGGGGTTAAGAGACTAAAGAAGCTGGTGGTATAGGTCTGTGATCCCAACTACTTGGGAGGCTCAGACAGGAAGCCTACAAATTCCAGGCCTGTTTAAGCTACAAACTGAACTGAAGTCCAGTCTAGGCAACTTTGTTTTGTCTCAAAATAAAAAGTGAAACGAGGGCTGTGGGTACAGCTCAGTGGTAGAGGCCTTAGATTCTAACCTCAGTACCATCAAAAAAAAAAAAAGATTAAAACTTTAATGACTTGACTCATTCCCTTTGAAAGACATTATTAATCAACTGTACCCAATGGTTTTGTGTGGTCACACCACAAATTTTATTCACTGTTGGAAGATCAGAACTATTTACTTTTTTTCTACCATATAACTTAAAATGGGTGTTTCCAACGTCCTGGGCTCAGTCTACTTTTAAGCACAGTTGAAGAACATAAATGGCTTTTGCAATCAACTGTTTCCACCATGGGGGTGGAGGGAGAATCCAAATTCAGACTGGGCAATGAAGTCACCCTGCTGACACAGGATCCTACCAGAGGGTAACTATTTGGGTCTGTTACCCGACAGAAGTAAATATAAGTAAAATGGACAGGAACAGAGTTCACCCATGAGTCTTTGATCTTTTCTTTCCTTTTTGGCAAGGGTACGAGTGTGTGTGTGTGGGGGGGTTAAAGACAGGGTTTCCATGTGTAGTTCTGGCTGTCCTGTAACTCCATCTGTATACCAGGCTAGTCTCAGAGGTCCACATGGTCCTAAGTGCTGGGATTACAGGCATATGCAACCTGTGCCCTGAAATCTTTTCCTTTTAAACTGAGGTATAATTTACATTTGATTAAGTGATTTGACCTGTTCTCATGTGTACAGCCTGACAAACTGTTACCAATCTCCACTTTTATATAACCAACTATCCTACCACTGTAAAATATATTAGCAAAAGACATGTCTAGAAAAATTTGGTTAAGGAGACATATTGTTTTAGTTCCTAGCATCCCAACATTGAAAACTGGTAATCAATGTGGTGGGGAAGAAATAATCAAGAAATGAAGAAATCTGAAGAAGTAACATCTGGTATATGCTCAATATAGCATATCCAGAAAAAGTTATAAATTATGGTTACCCAAAAAATATTTCACATGGAGCATCCAAGATTCCATCCTATCTCTAAGAGGCCCCTACTACATGTCATTCTTTGAAAGTTATGGAAAAATTAAATTCGAATTGAGTTTCAAAAGAAATTTCTTTTTTTTGGTTTTTCAAGACAGGTTTTTTCTGAGTAGATCTATCTGGCCTCTAACTCAAGAGATATGACTGTAGCTGCCTCCTACGTGCTGGGATTAAAGGTGTGTGCTGCTTAAATTTGATTTTTAAATTCAGTGTTTTAGATTATTTTTTCTTAAACTAGCAAAAGAGAACAATGCACATTTTATTCAACTTTAGGCCACCACAAACTTGTTTAGATCCATATATCCATAGTTACTACTGTACAATCATGTCATTTAGCTTTGATTCCCTGGTACTATCTACACAGAGACTGTAATAAAATTGCCCCTTCACTGTATATTGTCATTCAGCAAATGTTATGTAACGTTTATTAAATTCAACCGAAGTGCTTAATTTTTCAATTCAAAATAACAGCATACATTCTCTCTTTTTCTCCTCTCATTTATGAAACTAGTACTACCTGATTATCTTTGGTCTACAAAAAAATGATGTCACAGATTTGCTATAATTTTTCAAAAAGCAGTTATTCTGTACTCATAACCTTTTCTAAAGATGTTCTTCTGAATCCTCTGTGAGTCTGACCTGGAGGCAAGCAAAGCCCTTTTTTCTTTCACCCCCCTCCCCTGTATTTAAATCATGAATCTGTTTCCCCATTAACAAAAAGACTCAACTTGATGAGCTCCTCCTCTGAACTTCCCTCTTTATTAATTAAACACTCACTGAGCATGTGGCTGTCCTAGAAGCTCCCATGAGCTTTGGGTACACATAGTTGGAAAAGGTCCCACCTTGCCCCTGAGACATTGGCAGTCTATGTGCAGAGGTTATACAGTTGTTACTAGAACAGAATATAAAAATGTCATATTACAGATACGTATGAGGAACATACAACAAAACTAATGGGTTAAAGAGGTCTTCCTTGGGAGGGTCTTAAAAGGGGTTATCAAGGAGAGAATGAGAGGTATGTATAGTGAAAATAGTCCAATTATTCCTTTATGAAACTTTAACAGTGGTTTATCAAGTCAGTGTTCACATATTCTATGTTTTTAAGAAAAAAAAAAAAACTATTGCTAAGGCAATCCAAGTGAAGGTTTCTTTTCTTTTCTTTTTTTCACTCTTCTGGTAGTACTAGAAATTTGAATGTAGGTCTTGTAAATGCCTTGTCACTGAGCATAGTGTCAGCACTTAATCCATCTCATTATTTATATTTTTAAATTTTATTTTTTAAAGATTGTGGTGGTTTGAAAGAAAATGGCCCCCAAAAGGAGTGGCACTATTAGGAGGTGTGGCCTTGTTGGAGGAACTCTGTCACTGTGGGGGTGGGCTCTGAGGTCTCTCTTGCTCAAGTTTCCCTCAGTGAGACAGTAGGTTGAAGTCCTACTGCCTCTGAGTCAAGATGTAGGACTCTCAGTTCTAGCACCACGTCTGCCTGCACACTGCCATGCTCTCCACCATGATGATAGTGGACTGAACCTTTGAAACTGTAAGCAAGCCACTCCAAGTTAATGTTTTTACTTTTTAAAAGTTGTCATGGCCATGGTGTCTCTTCACAGCAATAAAAACCCTAAGATTTATTTTTTTATTTGCATATGTGTATTTGTGTGTGGCCATGTACACATGAAGGTGTAGGTGCCCAGAGTTCAGAAGAAGGGTTAGATTTCCTAAAACTGGAGATATGGGTGGCTGTGAGCTGCCTGACATAGGTGCTGGGAAATGAATTTGGGTTCTGTGCAAGAGCAGTATGCCTTCTTAACTTCATCTCTCCAGCTCCTCCACATTTTAAAACTAGTTTTTCAAAAATAGTTACTTGTTTATGCATGTATGTGCACACACATACCTCCTTGAATCTACGTTTCAGCAAAAACAGCTCATATCTAGTGTCCTTGCTATGATTACTTAGCTTCCTGTTCTTTAATCTACTCTTTCTTGTCTACTCTAAAACTACCTTCTATAATTAGTTTCTCAAAATTCAAAGAATTTCCAAATGTAAAATTTAGTAACGTTCGATCAACTCTGCTCCCAAATTACCTTGTAACTATCAATACATGACAATATCATCATCACTCCATTCTCTGAGATTACTTGGTATTCTCAGCTTGTACAGTAGCATCTACTCATACATTTTACTTGGTTCTAATCAAGTGCTAGCTTTAAATTTTTGCAAGTAGTTCTAGATTTATAGAAGGTAGTTGTGCTCATCCCTACATCACCAATACCAAATAGTGTTTTCTCTATTCCCACTACTTCAAAATTTCTTTAAGATGAAGGGTGGTTTAGGACCTGTTAGAGATGCTGAGGTGGCAGGGGCAGGGACACACAACCAAAAGGGAACCAAAAGAAAAGACGGAAAAATTGGAATAATAAAATTGCATGAAAAGTGATCTAGGAGTGTTTGTGGTTGGTGGAATTTTATTTCAACATGTGATCTAGGAATCCCAAGTCTGAATGAATACAAGGCAGAGACACCAGTTTAGAAATGGGAGTTCTGTTTATGTACAAAATATTGCTGGCAAGCTTCTACTGCCTCAGGTCTTTACAGCTTTAGTTAACACAGCCACAGATGGATTGCTCCATGAACAAAAGGATCCAGGCCACATTAAACATCTATGCTCTGCTATTGCTACATGACTCTACTCAGCTAACACTGTGAAGCTATCCAGGGGAGGTGTGGGCATTCAGAATCCAGTTCAGCTGCAAAGCCTACATGTCTTCCCTATACTGCATTACTTGATGGACCATGAGTACATTAAGGTAGGGAATGTCAAGATGCTGCAGCATCTCCAGCCCTGAGCACTGTGACAGTGGCTGACGTGTCAACACCAGTCTGCTTACAGACTATGGAGATTGAACATAGTCCCATTTGAATCCATTTCAAATTGGGTAGGATCCAATCATAATGTCTTAGGTATGTCAGCCTAGAGAAGTTACTGCATGGTGATTTCCTTACCTATACATGGGACTAATAAAATAATTTACTCCTACAGTGACTAGGATGACGTAGATGAGTTAAACATATAAAGTGACTAAAACAAAGCTCAGTACAAAGTAGTCACTAAATGTTTCTTACTATCTGTTATACAAACCAGCAGCTAAAAGCATCAAGAGAATAAAGTATTTAGAATAAAAAAGCTACAGAGTGACTAAAATACGCTGTAAGGAGAGGATGTAGAAATAAGTTTAAAACAGGAACCTTAAAATATTAAGTATATATGCAAAGAAGATTTAAACTTAATTGAACAGAACTTCAGAAATAAACTACATGCTTTCAAGAATTTAAAATCTTGTATTTTGATATAGTTTAAGTGAACAGAAAGCAAAAATATGAAGATACCAAATAAGTTAAGTTCCTACATAGTTTGGAAATAAAATTTCATTTTTCTTCAAATTTCTGAGATTTAAAAATATTCTCGTGATTAAACTATCATAAACTGGGTTTAACAACAGGTGTGCCGGCTGAAGCAGAAATACTGTTGCAAGTTAAGGTCAATCTGGTATATGCAATAAGATTCTGTCTCAAATATAAAAAAAAGAAAAAAACCTGTTATAATAAATCAGGAAAGGGTCTGTTAACCAGCCAAAACCACTACTACAAACCATTACCACCATCCTGTAGCTAAGGACCAATAGCACTTGCATTATGGAAAATTACACATATAGACCAGCAGAGGGAAACCCTGACATGCCTCCCTCCTGCTCATCAGCAGACTTCAACTTATCAGCATTTTATCACTTGTGAAACATCTTAGCACAGCAGTTAAAGTGGTTTATTTTTCTTCATTTTACTAAAAATAAATAAAAATGGAATAAAGCTTTGAGAAGAACAAACACTTACTGGATAATGAGGTCGCAAATGAAAAGTATGAGGTGATAGTATCGCTACAGCAAAGAAACGAAGAAACACAAAGCTGGTCACTGCAGAGTACTGAACATGAGGGTTATCTGCAGGGATAAAATGGTGAAATGTCATGCAAAACACTAGTTAAAAACCAAAGATGATAAAGTAAAAGAACATTATGTTAACTATGTAGGAGAAAGGAAAATAATTTGTAAAGTAAAACCTGAGTTTGTGAGATGATACTAATGATTGTGGCTAAACTAAAAGAAAAAAATGCTGCAACTTAAAGTAAAATGAAAGGCAAAGTTGCTGTTTTTAAAGAAACATTTTAAATCTGAAAAAGTTATGACATTACAACAAAAAATAAAAACAGTATCTAGCACTACCCAGTGGCAACATTGAATACCATTAAGTATTTTTATAATTTTGTTTTATAAATAATTTTGTTTCAAATTCATCCTAAAAATCTTGATGACATCAAAGGCCATATGTATGGTTAACTTTGATTGTCTAGCTCACTGGATGGAAAATGTCTAGGAGACCAGTAAACCTGCTGTGTATGTCTTTTGGCCCTGGCTCATTCCCAGCTCTCCCTCCGTCCTCACTGCTATGAGGTGAGCAGCTTCTTCTGCTGCAGGACAGCGTCACAGTGTTTGCCTAGTCTCAGGCCTGAATAAAGAATGGGTCCTGTGGGTGCTAGACTGAAGCTCTGAAACTACAAACCCATATAAATCTTCTTTATATTGTTTTTCTCAGGTATTTATCACAAAAAGAAACACCAATAACTTAAAGACTAAAAATGATTAGGTAGAAATATGACTTTATAGAGCTCCCAGTATTTCACCTAAAGTTGCAGATGAACTGCGGCCTACATGTAGCACTGACCCCTCATCTCCAGTACTTGTTTCAGACTGGAGTCAACAACTAACCTGACAACCAGATGCTAAGGAAGCGGTGGTGAGGGAAAGAGTCTCTGGGTTTGATGTGACTTTTAGCTCTTACAAATCACTCACTAGGGAACACCACCAAGCTGTCCATTGTCCCTTACTGATACTTGTTTCCTAGTGACTGCTTCCCCTGTTGTCTATATGCCGGGGGTAAGAACAAATGAGACCTCAGTTTCATTATCTAGTCAACGAGTAACGGCCTCAAACAGTGTGAGGAGTGAAAAACAAGACAGGCTAGCAAGCAGGTACTGTGGCTATGATCTAGCTCACTACTTGAAGAAGGAATCTAATCAGCACTTTATGTTTGTAGGAACAAGTCTCTGCCTCCTCTATTGATTATGAAGGTTAAAGATATTTATTTATAGTTAAATGTTTTGTAACTTTATTATAATTAGCCAAGAGACCTAAACCTGAATTCATATATAAGTTAGACAACTCAGCCATACTATTTTAGTATTGGGTAAATTGGGCAAACATAATAAAATCTCTTTGGATGGCTAAAAAAGTTAATTTACAATTTTATACAGATAGATAAACCTGATTAGTAAGTAGCTGCCTGGTCTGTGCTTCCCCCTCTGTTATAGGCAGACTTGCAATCGGTTTTGACAAATTTATTTATGTAACAGAAATGAACTAAGTACTAATAAGAGGCAGTAATTCATAACTTTATAAATTCCAATAAAAATCTCAATATAGCTAATTTTGCAAAACTAAGCACAATGATTTCTTGATATGTGTACCTCAAAATCTTATGTATGTTGGGACAAGTGTTTGAAAGGCCAAAGATTATTTTTGAAAAAAATATCTTGCCACAGACATCTTAGTATTCCCAAGCTGTCAAATCTAGTCAATTGCATGAAACTAATGATTACTACTGTTTGAATATATTCGACCAGGAAAACAGCTGGGACAAAAAAGCTGTGTATTCCATAGTCTATTAAATATATAGCACGTATAGGCTTACTTACATATTCCAGAAAATCTTACAGATCCAAATTTTTCCATCTTAAAACTAATGATTTTGATTGCTTTTTATATAGTTGCCATTATACTGAAATAAAGTGGATTGTATTTTTTGAGATTATAGGAAAAATAAAGTATTAAGTCTCACAAAGAAGCTAGCATCATTTTGATAAACTTCTAGAAGACTGGACCTATGCACAAACATTTCATACAAACCAAATGGATACCATGTAGGAAAAAACATAGAAAAAGAAATGGTGTGATTGAGTATAGCAAGGCACTTACTAGGAAATCTCTTAGCAGCCATTTGCCTCAGAGAATAAAAGATATCACACATCACAGTGGGGCAGCTCACACTTGATCCTACAATTGTGTTGAATACTTTGTCCACATAGTAGTGCAGATTCTCCTGCAGGGTTTAACAAAGTGAACACTAAGATTTTGACTTGCACACATCTTCAACAGTCTTCATGAAAAAATGATGGATATGAGATGTATTAGACGATGACTATCTAGCATTTTAAAGTTCTGCTTCCACTTTCCAAGTTTACTCAGTTAAAAGGGCAATCAACATTCTGACTTAATTTAATAAATTCAGACTTTCTAGACAGGTGAGTATATGAATAATTTTCACAAGAACCACAGTTAACAGAACAATAAAATAGGAAACCAGGGAAAGAACTCATGATGGGCTGCATTAGTACACTAACACAGTTACACACAAACCCCAACACAATTATAGACTTCTCAGAGGCAACTAAATTCACTAAGTTATTTAGTCCTATGAGTCTGACCTGAAAGGAATAGTGAGAATGGAGGTTTCAACTAGCTGCAGTTTAAATCTATCATTATTATAGGCTATTGCCTCACTAGAACTAGATGGTAAGACCCTACAGTTGAAGGCATCATGTTCTCTGGTCTAGAAATTGTCTCCCTGCTTGTTAAGACTAAACAGAGTCAGAAGATACAATGCAGGCTGCTAATGGAGAATTGTCATTAAGAATTTACTCAGTTGCAACCCTGTGTACTGCACTACTGACCTACCAGACAACAGGGGCACCACTGTTTGGGGGATAAACAAGCACTTTCTGATTTGGATCTGAGGCCTGCTTCACAGGAGGCAATTTTCATTTGACACTGTAAACCTGGTCAAAAACCTATGGCTGGAATAAGGACAGCAGTGTAACGGGAAGCTACTGCTGCTGATCTGCTAAATGGATATGCCTATCAAATCACCTTCTAAATATTTATGTTTAAGTCCATAGATTAGTGATGCTGTTGGCTTTGGTCAGAGAATAAGTGACTATTGAGTGCTTAGCCTTAAATGGGCCATCTATAACACTTCCCTCAAGGTTCAGGGAACATCACTTAAGAGTGGACAGAAAGAATCTAGGAGGAAAGAGTGACTGTCCCCTAACTGTTTTAAGCACTACATGCCCACGGTTCTCTTGAATTCTCAGCAGTTATAATCAACAGAACAAGACCTATATAAAATCAGGCCCATTAACTGTCTGTAGAGGAGTGGGGAGGAGTTGGTAAGTCCCTACCTATTCCTGAGGATCTACAGGCAATAAGAGGCTGCTGAAGGAGAAGAATTTTTTTTTTTTTTTTTTTGGTGGCATAACTATAGGTAACCTGTCTATGCTACTATGTTAACCCCTCACTTCCTGTCCCTAAGTAAACTTACTAGGATACACATGAACTCACACAGAAGCAGACAGACAGACAGACAGACAGACAGACAGACAGACAGACAGACACACACACCATGCAAGTAGAAAAGCAGAAGGGCCAACCAACAATTAAAAGAAGAAAAGGGGAGAGATGAGGGGAGGCTCAGCAGTTAAGAACATACCCTGCTCTTGCACAGAAGCACTTCAGTTCTCAACACCCATGTCAGGCAGCTCACCCCTGCCTATAACTACAGCTCAAGGGAACTCAAAGCCTCTGGACTCCACAGCACATGTACTTTCACATGAATATACCCACAATTAAAAAGTAAAAAAGAAAGAAAAGTTGAAGGGGAGGACTAGTTGGGGAGAGGAAACGGCTTAGTGGGAAAGGGAACAAAACAGAATAAAAGGGGGTTAACATGATTAAAATACATTATATACACGTATGAAAATATAACAAAACTTATTAACCTATTATTATCTATAATATAAGCTAACAAAAGATTAGCTTCCAGAGAACCAGAGTTCAGGTCTCAGCACTCAGGCAGTTCACAACTGCTTGTAACTCCAGTTCCAGAAGATCCGATGTCCTCTTCAGGGTTCTGTTGGCACCTGCATTCATGTGCACATACCCATACACACCTCCAAACATATATAGTTAAAAATGCTAAGTTAAAAAATTTAAGAATAAAATGAATAGCATTGTTTCCAGACACATGGTTTATTAAATTTTAAGTGTGTGTGTGTGTAGGGGTGGGGTGGGGTGGGGTGTTGTGTTAGAGAAATGGTTAAGTGGTTAAGAACACTTATGTTCTTGCAGAGGACCTGGGTTTGATTTTCAGCACCCATATGGTGGCTCACAAGCATTTATAACTCTATTCTTGGATGATCCAATGACCTCTTCTGACCTCCATACGTACCAATCACACATGTGGTGCACAGCAGGCAAAGAAACCACTCATACACACAAAATGAAACATACCATTTATAAGAGAGAGGTATAACATTTAAGATAAAAAATTAATGTGGTTCTAAACTACATTATATAAACTTACCTTATTATTTTCTACATTATCTCCCTCTTTCAACTTAACAGGATCTATTTCACAGGATTTCGAGGATTCACATATCTGGAAAATACATGTATTTTTCAGGTACTGTTCTTTGCTAGGTAATTTAACAAAATGAAAGTAAGTCTTTTTCTGATAATATAAAAATTAAATCTAACAAAGTTTAAAGTCCCCACCTGAAGATACTATGTACAATGTAGACATTTTTTTCCAAAGAATTGTATGAAAATTGTTTCTTAAAGTCCTAGTAAAATAAAAATGTAATGAACAATAATGTAGATTGATGTGCCTTGTGAATAAAATCCACAGATGGCCAAGTAATTACTTATAAAGTGTCTGTCCTTATTGCTTCAGTAGCCTATGAATGGACAGATCCTTCTAACCAACACATTTCTTCTTGAAGGAGAAAGTCTAGTGCAGTGGTTCTCGACTTTCCTGTCACTGTGACCCTTTAATGCAGTTCCTCAGGTTGTGGTGACAACAACCATAAAATTACTTTCATCGCTACTTCATTAATCTTGCTACTGTTCTGAACTGTAATGCAAATATCTGATATGTAGATGGTCTTAGGAGATCCTGTGGGGACAGTCTGGCCCACAGGTTGAGGTCAGACTCTGGCACTGAGGTGTGCTCTGTACCTCGTCTAGAATAGGCTTTAACGTGACTTTCAAGTAGTGTCCTCCCACTATTTTCATCATCTCATCCAGACATCGGGTTGCCAGGGTATTTCCTCTAAAAATTGTGCTTGCATCTCTGAAACAGAAATAGAAAGAGATAAAAATCAAGCACAGCAAAAAGGGAAGAAAAAGTTTAAAAGTAGTAACATTTTTTACTCTCATTATATACACAATTTTAGTAATTTTTACTACTAACAGGAAAGTTTGCTGCCACAAAGAAACTAGTTTCTGAAAATGTTTCTTTTTTTCTGTTTTAATTTTAAAGATTTATTATGTATACAGTGTTCTTCCTACATTATGCCTGCTGGCCAGAAGAGGGCACCAGAACTCATTACAAATGGTTGTGAGCCACCATGTGGTTGCTGGGAATTGAACTCAGGACCTCTGGAAGAGCAGCCCAGGGCTCTTAACCTCTGAGCCATCTCTCCAGCCCCCAAATTTCTGAAAATGTTAACATCAGTTTTAAAAAGTAACTATGTTTATGAACTTTAAATATAGTGTGGCTACGTGTGCATAAAATGACAGTGCTGTTTTACTACAATGGGAATGGAATTTGATTGTCCTTTACATTGCCCTATGTGTGCCATACAAAGTGTTCTTACTTTCTGACTTGTGATATGTGAATCACTGCATCCAGAAGCAAAGTTCAGTAATAGTAACAAAGGAAGCTGCACCACTGAATTAAACCATTCCCTTATTAACTAGTCCTTACTGTTGTTGGAGTCTGTTTGGTAACTTTAAGAACTGTCTTTTGTTACTGACTAAGTAATTCTTTTTCACCTGCTCTACAGTAAACTTGGTCAATAAAAAAAAAAAAAACTGAGACTATAAAAACAATCTAGCAAATAAAGTTCAATTTCAACAACGCATAATTAACATTTAATGAAATACAATTCTTACTGGGTATCCTTCAAGTCCAGTTCAGCCACCGCAGTGATGAAAGGAACAAGTTTATTGTGATGCAGCAATAGTCGTACAAGAGGCAAAACAGCATCCTTTTGATCTTGACATATTTCACCCAAAATATAAGCAGCTGAGGCAGATACTGGCTAGGATACAGAAGAAAACAAGCACAGAATCAAAGAAACATGGTTACATGTTCAATCTGTGGATGTAACTTAAATATACTCATTAATTACAACTTATGAATAAAATAGTATTTAGTTTTCTAAATTCTAAGCAAAGTTAAAATTTGCAGCACACATCAGTACTCTGGTTCAGAGAGATTAAATACACAGAGCCTTTTAAGAGCTGACACCATGAAATCTTTTCTTCACTTACAGAATCAATTTAGCTGTTCACATCGAGCTACACATGTAAAAATTTTAAAGTACCTGAACATCTGGTGATTTTAGCAGCAGAGTTTTCAGTGGATCATAGTACTCTGATGGAAGCACATAGTCTTCTGTATAACATAGAGTTAATCGAAGAGATCCCAGGTCATCAGTTTTAGATGACTTGTTTCCATTGTCTCTTGGTTGTAGCAAGTACCTAAAGTAAAAATATTGTCAACTCCAAGAGATGGTAATGAGTAACACCCAAGTGGGATAAACAAACACCTGAGCTCCTAAAAAATAACCAGGGGCTGGGAGTGAAGCTCAGTGGTGAAATGTGTTCTTATCATATCCAATCTCCAGCATGTCAATGAAATAAGTACATACACAGAGGAAGTAATTACTGGCAAGATGGGATTTGAACTAAGCAGTTTGATTCCAGAATACAAGCCCTTAACCACTATCAAAAGTCAACAAATATTTATATGTTCTACTATATTGTTAAGTAAGAACAGAAGCATGGTACAGGTGGGTATGGTAGTGTGTATATCTGGAAGGCTAAGGCAGAAGGGTTGAGAGTTCCAGACCAGTCTAGCAGCCTAATTTCAATAAAACAAAAGAAATAAATGAATGAAAAAATACACATGTAGCCAGGCATTGGTGGTGCATGCCTTTAATCCCAGCACTCGGGAGGCAGAGGCAGGCAGATCTCTGTGAGTTTGAGGCCAGCCTGGTCTCCAGAGCGAGTGCCAGGATAGGCTCCAAAGCTACACAGAGAAACCCTGTCTCAAAAAAAAAAAAAAAAAAAGAAAAAAGAAAACCAAAAAATAAACAAATAAAACAAATAAAAAATACACTAGTTGAAGAGCTGGGGGGCAGGAGGAAGGATTCTCTTTTCAATCTTTTTATCTAGAAATGGTGTGAGTACATTACCTATTAAAAAAAATTGGCCAAGAGGCAGTGGTGCACACCCTTAATCCCAGCACTTGGGAGGCAGAGGCAGGCAATCTCTGTGAGTTCAAGACCAGCCTGGTCTATAGAATAACTATTACAAAGAGAAACCCTGTCTCAAAAACCCAACAGCAACAACCACCCCCAAATCAAATCAAATTCCATTATCTACTGAGGGCAAAGTGAAAATTAGCTAGTATCAACAGGAACAAGACAATGCTAACATCTGACTTACCTAACCATTAAAAAAAAAACAACAACCAAATTTTAAGGAGGTAAATCACTAAGAAAAAGGGGAGGGCTGTCAAGATGGCTAAGTGGGGAAAAGCACTTGCTGACTGTCAGAACACAGTCAAAGAATGGAGTTGTGCAAGGGGAATTCTGAGTGCATGTGAGAAAACTACAAGAGTCTTGTGACCTCAGTTTCTTCAAAACAAGACAAAAAACCAACCAACCAAATGTTCTTGGCATGTGTTTTCATGCCCCTCCCAGGTGCAGTGGGTAAGAGTGAGTTTACTTTGATTATTCATTACAACTGGCTATTGTTATTTGTTTATATGTCTCTATGGAAAAAACATGTTTTCTGCCACATTTGACTTGTCCTTGTGATTATACACTTTTCTCATGTGATTCTTTTTTACCCACAGAGTATAAATTGTATGATGTTCTAAATGAAGTTGGTTACTGCATGAGACTTTAGTCTGCCTCATTTTGGGCTCCATTATCCCACCACCAAGAGCCAACTAGAGAGACACACAGCTGCAATCTTAAAAGTCAGATGGTGGAAATAGAACAACAACTCCAAAAGGCATTCACATGCTACACACACACAGAGGGACACACATGGACACACACATAGATAAACAGATAAATGTAACAAAAAAAGTTGTAAAAAGAAAGGGAAAAGTGACTGAGTCATGTTATAATCCAGAGAAATGGCGCAACAGTTAAGAACACTAGCTGCTTTTGCAGAGGACCTTGGGTTTGGCTCCCAGCACCCACATGGTGGCTCACAACAATCTGTAACTCTGGTTCCAGGGCATGTGACACCCTCTTCTGACCTCCACAAGCACCAGGCACATAAGTACCACCACACACATATATTCAGGCAAACACTCATACACATAAAATGAAAATCGTAAAAAAAAAAAATAAATTGGAACCATCAAAAATCAGTTTTTAGGAGCCCAATATAACGGGCAAATAATAATGGAAATTATTGGAAAAAAGAAAATAAAAAAACTTCAAACATTATTGCCTACTGATAAGTTATTATGACCCTTTGTAAGATCAAAATTAGAAATAATTATGGCATTTTCATGCAGTTACCATTAGCCCCACTAGAGGATGCTACAGCTCTACAAGTGATGAAGGTGACAAGGCATCTTGAGTTAAAATGGCGTTAATTTTTTTTTTTTTTGGCCTTAAATTTTTGTATTTCCCTACAATGTACATTAATATACATAGATTGGCAGATTCTTGTCTTTTATGCTACATAAATTTTCGTATTTATGCTTCTGACAGGCTACTTTAAAATATTCCTATTATTGGGAGCTGGAGAAATGGCTTACATGGAGAAATGGATCATACAGTGCTATTGCAAAGGACTTGAGTTCACTTCTAAGCACCCACATCTGGCAGCTACAACTACCTGTAACTCCACCTCCAGAGGATCCAACTCTGGCCTCAAAGATACCAGCACTTAAGTGCACATAAGATTTTTATACTATTGACAGAAGAACCTGAAATAAAATTACTTAACTGTCTGTTAATATTCTATAGACTGCCAAAGTATAAAGTTTTGTCAAATTTGGAAAGAATATGAAGAGACAATGTCATTGAAAGTACATGATATGGGGCAGATTTCAAGTTCATTTTGATGGGCCCTGGGAGATACAACAATTCATTTTTCTCTTTTGTACTAAAAGGTATGGAATATTATTTTAAAGACTTAAAACTGAGTTCAGAAATTTTCATGGAGATGTAAGAAAGCATATCATATGGAGGGGGCAAACATTGATATATTTTTCTTAATGAAATAGTCACCCCCATGCATTTAGAAAGTATACAAAATGTCCTTAGAGAACAAAACATATGCTTAAGAGGAGTTAAAAATAACATTTAAGCAATCTAAAATGCAGTCTTTAAGGGAAACTATGAGCATAATCCAAATGAGGAGTGTCTGATGGCTGTATAGACGAGGCAGACAGACTCTTTCAAAGGCAAATGAGACAAAAAGAAATATTGGAATACTTAGTATCAGCCATGGTGGCGCACACCTTTAATCTCAGCACTCAGAAGGCAGAGGCAGGCAGATCACTGAGTTCAAGGCTAGTGTGGTCTACACAGCAAGGTCCAGACCAGCCAGTTACATATTGAAACTGTCTTAGAAAAAAACCAAAACAAAACAAAAAAGAAACAAAACTACAACAAAACAATCCCTAAATATTCAAATGTCAACCCCTCTTCCAGGCAGCAGAAATTGAATTCTAAAAAGTAGTTATCTTGGCTAACATTCCATAGTGTGTAAAAAAAAAAAAAAAAAAAAAAAAAAAAAAAAAATAATAAAAAAAAAAAACAAAAAAAAAAAAAAAAAACTAACATTCCATAGTGTGTACACACCACATTATTTAAATCCACTTACTCATCAACAGACATTTTGCTATCAAAGGGTGAAATCCTAGCATTTGTGGTAACCCATCTGGAACTTGAGGTCACTTTATCATGTGAAAGAGGCAGAGAAAGATAAAGATCACAAGTTCTTATACATTTGTGAAAGCTAAAGTTGATCCACATAAGAAGAGAGTAGAATTGCTAGAAGGCAGGAGGGGAGAAGGGGTAGAGAAAAGGTAAGGAGTGGGCTCTAAATACAGCTGTGTATGGTGATATATTATTTATGACTTATTAAAGCTTGTCTGAGGATTCAGAGCCACAAGCTATAGAAGCCTGGTGGTGGTGGTGGTGGTGGTGGTGGTGGTACACACCTTTAATCCCACTACTTGGGAGGTAGAGGTAGATGGATCTTTGTTAGTTCAAGGCCATACTGAGCTAAAAGAAACATATCCAGTCCAGAAGAAAAACAGCTCATACAAAGATGATCTCAACACTTGGGATCACACACCTTTAATCCCAGGACTCATGAGAGGTATTTTATACAGGAACAGGGTCTCAGAGCTAGCATTCATTCTCTAACCACATTGAGGATAGGAAGACATTCAATCTCAGAATTCTCCAGCCAGGTTGAAGAGAGCATAGCAGTCTGGAATTTCAATCTGAAGCTTAGTGAAGAGCTCGTGGATCAGCCCTTTCAGCCTGATCTAGAGGTAAGAGCTAGTGACCAGGAGCTTTGCTTTTCTGATCTTCAGCTTGAAGCCTGAACCCCAATGTCTGTCTCTGGGTCTTTTATTTGTCATGCTATAGCTGTGAGAGTATAACTATGAACTATAACAATTGATGTTACATTTTAGCATAGTTCACCAAAACACAGAAATGATATTTGAGGAGACGGACATGCTGACTATACCTATTTGATCATTACACACTGTATACATGTGATAGTACTTATTTTTCTCTAAACAAGCACAAATACTACATTTCATTTTTAAAAAGGATCTTTAAAGGGAAGTAACAGAGGTTGGAGAGATGGTTCAGTTGCTAAGGTGCTTGCTATGTCAGCAAGAGGGCCTGAATCTGGATTCCCAGTACCCACTTAAAAGCTGGGCTTAGTATTACTGCACATCTGTAATGCTTGCACGAGGGAGGTAAAGACAGATGGAGTCTCTGGGGCTCACTGACCAGCCAGTCTGATTAATCAGGGAGCTCCAGGTTCTGAAATCCTTTCTCCAAAATATATGAAGATCAACTGATGAAGATCCCAGTGTCGAGCTCCATTCTTTGCATGGGCACCTACGTGTTTACGTAACCACATCAACAAGCACTCCCCCCAACACAGGATATGGTAATTTGAGAACGGCATGTTTCTACATACTCAGTTGAACACCAATCTAGGAAAAGACACTGGCAAAGATACAAAAAGGGACAGGATACAATAGTTTTTAAGGACTATACAGACAAAAAGCTTTACATTGAAATAAGTATGAAATTTAATCAATGAACATTAAGTTTATTAGTATCAATTTAGTATCAATACTAGAGCCATGAAAAGGTCAAATAACACACTCTAGTCAATACTAAGCTCCCAGAGTTCATCTTTGGCTCACTGCAACAGTTGTCTTCTTACCAGGCTTGATGAGAGGAATCATTTCTTAACACATTCACAGGAACCTTAATTTCACCCAGGAAAACATCTTGGACTAGGTTTTCATTATTCCACAAATCAATCCTGAAAACAGAAAATCTAGCTTTAGTCTTTGAGAACCACGCTGAATAGCTTCAAGTGATTTTGATGTATATTGTAGCATTAATTTAACATGCTTAAAAGAGATGTTAGCATTGTCATATATCTCATTATCCAGACTTTGAAAGCAAAGTACTACAGTGACTTTTACTGAAAAACCACAATTTAAATTCTAAATTACATTCCTATTCATTAATTTGGGGGAGGGGCACATGCCACTGTGCACACGTGAAGCTTAGGGGAGTTGGTATTTTCCTTCCATCATGTGGGACCCAGGGACAGAACTCAGGTAGAATGGCTTGGCAGCAAGTGCCTTAACAGCTTAGCTATCTCCCTGGCCAAATTCTGAATAGTCTTCAAGGAGAAACTTCATTTTTTAAGTTTGAAAGTTTAGTTTATTTTTTTTTTAAATCTGTATCAATAAGGACAAAATGGCTACTGAATTTGAAAAAAAACAATATAAGACTACAGTTTCTCTTTTGAAGATAATTAATGTATAAAGATTGGTGACTTAGAAAAATACTGCCTACCACTGTGAACACATGATTAATGTGCCTTTTAGATAGCACGCTGTTAACACCACACCTACACATGCATTTGCAAAAGTTTCCTTTCCAAAACAGCATAGATATTTAAGACCTAGGAAATATCACAAACTTCAAACCCATGCACCTGTGGAGTTATCACCTTACCTCACTGAAATTTCTGATAGTCAGCAGATATGTTAAGAAGAATAAAAAAATTATTTCTAAATATAATTGTCTTTCCATTCATTATATTATAATCCAGATAGTTAAGGAACAATTAAATTAAGGGGAAATGAAAAAGAAAATAGGTGAAATTAGGTTGTCTTTGCTCACACAAGAAATATACTTTGGTATTTCTGGAAAGAAATCAGATTTTTAAAAGACAGTTTGGACTAAATTAGATGCCTGTTCCTCTAAGTTTCATCTATCAACCTGCTACAGAGAATTCTATCAAAGTTCACACAGGGGAAAAAAAAATCAATTCTCAAGGAAAACCACAAGGTACACACCTGATTTCCAATTTTTCAATGTCCTCTTCTTCTACCTGGAACTGGGACTTCCTGGTATAACTACTGGATCTGGTTACCTATAAACAAAATATTTTAGTAAAAATATTTTAAAGTATCTTTTTTTCCATCATGAGTTTAAAAATGACAATTCCCAAAATATTCAATTATCAATACAAAAAGAGTCAAGTGTGGAAGTAATATTCCAAAGCATTGAAAGTACACTAACAAGGCACCAGAAAGCTAAGGAAGGGTGGCATAAAAATCACAGGCATCTTTGCCTCTATGCCACTTCTACCAGTTCTACTTGCAGCAGTATCTGGGTCCCTGGTTTACAGGTGTCTTCAGTGACACAAAGAGGAAAAACACCGTGTTCAAAGAGCTCACTTCTAAAAGCACCTTACAGTCTTTCCCACCTTTCTCAAAGTACACCACCCCACTCTTATTTCCTTCTCACATTTTTACTGAAAATATCAAGGCCACTGGGCAGGAACTTCCTCAACTGCCACCCAGCTGAACACCCACTTCCTACCCTCAGGCCTCTCTCTACTCGAGTTTTTTTTTAAGAGATGATTCAATACTACCTCCCCCAAGCCAGCTCCTTCCCCCCAGTGTATTTAAGTGTGTTCTGTAAGCATTTGATCTATCTTAATTACAGCTTTCCTTACCAGTTTGATCACTCCATTCTAGTCTAACAAAAATTTTCCTTCTAAATCACAGTCCTCCTGTCTCTTTTCTTTTTCAGACAGTAACATTAAAACTAATTCATCCCAGAACCAGTACTTCCTCACCACCCACTCAGGACAGTAACCACTTTATCACCAGCTTCCTTACAGATCACCCTTGTAAAATCTATCTTCATCGCCATATCTGTAGTCAACTCCTACTCCTTACTGTTCTTGGCCTCTCCCTCTGACCTATTCCCAGAAGAGCTCTTTGCTTTGAGTTTACCTGAGGAATATCCTGCCGCCTCTTTTCTACACAGGTGGCATTCTGTTTTATTTTGTTCTAAAAACAACTTAGAGCTACACCGTGTTGCCTAGTTTACAAAGTGCTATCACGTTCATCACCTCTTTGACTTGTCAGAATGTTGCTTTAAGGCAAGCAGGGCTAGATTTATTATCTGGTCTTAAAAATAAGGAAGCTATAGAACAAAAATTAAGTGGCATGTTCCAAACTGAATAGTTAGCGCAGAGCATCTTTGGATTTCTTCTCTGTTGCATCTCTTCACTCCCTTGGCTTTCCTGACTCAGTGACAAATCTTATATTGTGATCTACAGTTATCACCTATCATATTTCAGTCATAAACTGTCCTGTTAACAAATTTTATTTGTTTTCTGAGACAAGGTGGTCCAAGGCTCACTGTGTAGTTCAGACTGGCCTTGAAATTCTGATCTTTCTGCCTCCACCTGCCAAGGATTGGGATCATAAGCATATACCACATCTGATACCTGGTGGAGGATTTTGATTTTCCCTTTTCCTCCTTTAACCAATTATCTTGACCTGCAGTATCTCTCTTCTCTGCCCCTCACTCAGCTGTCTGTTTGAACACTGAAACCATAAGTTTTTAGTCACCTGCTAACATATCACAGTTACCTCTTTCTATCAAGGATAGAATATCAAGGATATTCCATTAACTACAATTAAAGCCTGGGGCTCACTCACCAGCTTATCCCATCTTTCTACTTTTTTTTTTTTGGTAAAATAACCTAATGTTGATTGGTGTTTTGCTTGTCTGCATGAGGGTGTCAGAAGCCCTGGAACTGGTACGGGCAGATGCGAGCTGCCATGTGGGTGCTGGGAACTGAACTCATGAGCTCTCTCTCCAGACCCCTTCTTCCTATTCTTTTTTTTTTTTTTTCATCCTTCTATTCTTAATTCTGGTTATTTTCTTATTAAACTTGGTTAAACCATTACTCAGATGTTCTTTGGGCATAACTTTCAGTTTTCCTGAGTCTGTACCCAAAATGTTCTTTCTCTGTAATATTCTCTCTGTTCTCCTTTAGGAAAATATAGTCTTTCTTTGGATTGTTTTGACCCTGAGCTCAAGCAGTATGTGTTGCACGCTATAGCTGTTTGCATGTACATATGCATGTGTTTCCTTATATCTTGCTCTGGTTTTGCCAAACATATCTTTCTTTATAACCTGTCTAACAAAGGGCTCAATAGCAGGTAAACTGGTATGGTGAACAGTTCAGACCCTGACTTTCAAAAAGTTACCTGCTTGTTATGAGGTCCTATTCATAATGAATTCCAGCCCATTTGAGGTGTGAACTATGAGCAAGAGTGAGTGAATAGGGAAGCAGCTTTTAAAATTGTCATCTTCTTCATGTTCTCATGGTAAGGCATAAGGGGCATTAATAAATGTAGAAAACTGTACCAAGTCCTCCAGGAAAGGAAGCCTCTTGCATTAGTATGCTTTCCTTTTCCTTTCCTTCCAACCTCCCCCCCACCCCCAGTCTCTTACTTCACTTTTGTATTTTCTTACAGTAATCAGGCATGAGTAGGGGTATTCTGATGCCCTCCCCAAAACAGAAGAAAAATACAAAAGAAAAACTTCAAGATGTAACTACCTACAAATTGTTCTCACATATTAAATCAATTGTAATTCATTCTGTTATTACACAGTCTTTTTACAGATTTTGATTTTTACATTTTTCTATAGTCTTCAATTAATATAAAAAAGGATTGATTAAATACTTCAAAGAATTCCACAGCACTGTATTTGGGACAATTTCAAGGCAGCTGAAGATGTACCTTGGTGGTTTAGTGGTTAGGACTTGCTCAAGGCAACTGAAGATCTTCATGAACAAGATATATCTACAGAGTAAATTAATGAAAGGTGTAATCATGAAATGCTCCCTACTCTCAAAGGAGTCTTGTATTTGGTACATTTGCTAATGTTTTCCCTCAAAAAACTGCCCTTTCACTGGGTATGAAATACAGGATTCATGTTTATTTCATCATTCAAATCAACTGAGAAAAGATTTCAGATCATCTGAGTGGTAATGCTTGTTGTCCTAGAGGTCTTAGAAGAGTCACCATGGACTGGAGAGTGTGGGAACAGTCTGGAAGAGGCTGTGCGGAGGAGGACTACAGGGTGGGTGTGACTCTGCCCTCCCCACTTCCAAACCAGCCAGAGCTACGTGTGTTACATCATGATTCTACTGTTTTCTGGACAGAAATTATTAGTTACATTAACTGGTAAAATAATTACTATGGCCATGGTTGACAAAATTAAATCAACTAGAATTCTAGATTAAATATTAATATTTATACAAAACAAGAAATTACCTCAAAATAAAAGATTTCATTAAACTGCGGATTGCTTGTTTTCTTCTTTACTTTTGTCTTCTTTTGGTCATTCCTGTTCCAATGTGGTAGAGTTTTACCTTGTAGAACTTAATAGTACACAATTATAAAACAAGCTATTTCCAACCAGGAAGCCTGACCTTTTTCTAAATGTTAGGATGACTGAGAGAGGACAATAAATTAGATATTGTGTGAGGGGGAAAAAAGCCAGTGTCCTCACAAACTCAAATCCAACAATATCCGTACATAGGATGCAAGTTTTATGTATGCATACACGCCAAGATTGGATTATTGTCTCCAGGGCTGTGAGAGGCTAATTCCCACGTTCTCTTTTAGAGTTTTCAACACATCCTACTACCAGAGAGAGTGATGAAAAGAAAGGTAGTGACACTCAAAGTGCCTTCACTGATACTGAAAACATCTGGGGAACATGAAGTGTCTCTTAACTCCCTTTACTTCTGGGTTATAACCAAGAACAGTGACTTAAACTGCTAATTGCCAGTGGATATACACATTCTGAGGCAGTTATAAATAAATGTTCAGGGAGTCTTGTATCTTTAGCCAGAATCAACCAATGTGAAAGTCTTGTGTGATTACATAGCAAAATCAACTGTGATCTAAAAAAAAAAAAAAAAGTTTCTACTAAATGTTACTTCAAAAGTTCCATTAAAAAATGTGTTCATTCGTGAGAAGCCAGAGGGTAGTGGCAGCAGTGCACTCCTTTAATACCAGCACTCAGGAGGCAGAGGCAGGTGGATCTCCGTGAGTATGAGGCAACTACAGAGTGAGTTCCAGAATAGCCAGGGCTACACAAAGAAAGCCTGTCTCAGAGAAGAAAAAAAAATTTGTTCATGAGATAAAAATCACTTTTTTATTTTTTTTTGGTTTTTCAAGACAGGGTTTCTCTGAGATAAAAATCATTAAACAGAAAACAAGAACAACCTCCTGAGTTGCAGTGTATCTCACTGATAGAGTAACTGCTTATCATCAATAGTCTGGGTTTGGATACAGAACTACAAAAAAAAAAAAAAAAAAAAAAAAAAAAAAAAAAAAAAAAAAGTTTACTCCAAACTAGCAGCTCCTCTAGGCTGACTTGTGCCCCTACCCCCCATTTCTCTGTGAGGCAGGGGCTTAACTAGTAGTTCAGGCTGGCCAGAATTTGTGATCCTCTGCCTCTCAGGTACAGGGATTATTGCCATGATTCCACTACCCAGTAGGGCTGAACATTTTTAGCACATGGGTGTGTGTGTGTGTGTACCCTCCGACAGCTTTTAATGCTGTATGAATTCTTGCTTTTAAGTTTAAAACTAATCTGCAATAATAACAACAGCATACCAGTATTTAGGCTCCCATGGTATCAGATACTTTTATACACACACACACACACACACACACACACACACACACTTTTTAAAACTTTGTGAAATAAGAACAAACATGTAAGAATAAATCCCATGCTTTCGTTCTCTGACTCTAATAGCTTTAAGTTGCAGACAAACTCCAGACTAGTCCGTCTCTTAAAGAAATGACATGAAGTTTTCTAATATAGATATTGCAAAGTGCTATTGGTTTTTCATAAGTTATAGACTTATGAAATGTTATATAGACTTAAATGTTACGGGGAAATTCACCATACTCTGGGACTTCAGTAGTTCTTCTAGAATTTGGAATTCTTTTTATAAAGCACTGATATCATCAATAGAAAAGGCAATTTTCAGTGCTGAGCTGCCTTCCAGGTAACAGTATGGAAACCGCTTTGTTATTTTGAACTGACGTTTATGAAAAATTGATTGTTATTTGTATGAAACTGAGGTTATCTGAAAGTAGGAGAGTTAATGAGTAAATAATTTGGGGTTTTTGTTTTAGACCCTGGATAGACTATAACTTGTCATGTACATCCAAGGGTGACCTTGGATTCAGAGATCCACCTGCCTCTGTCTCCCAAGTGCTATGATTAAAGACATACACCCTGCATGCCTAGCCCATTATATATATTTTAAATACACTTTACAAGTGTATAAGACTGAGGTTTTTCCATAGTGTAGTAAATGCATAACAGATCTGAAATAATATTCAGCATCTTTCTGTGAAAACAGAACTTGGTTATTAATCACATATACACTACAACTTAGTAAAAATTCTTCCTTTAAATATCATTTTATGTCACAGTTACTTAGCATCTGATCTAAGAACTCCATATTTCCAACTCCTAAATCCAACTTTTTAAAATTTTTAAGAATTTTTTTTCTTAAATCCAACTTGAAACTTGAAAACCCAGTAACAATTCAATAAATATTACCTAGAAGGGCCAACTAGGGAAACGGTTGCATAAGGATCACAGTTTTGTCCATTTATGAGAGGCAATCCATGGCATGCCTTGATGCTAAGGTAGAATAAGAGAGATTTGAAACCATTAGAGTCAAGTTAACATCATAGTATTATCTCTCCCTCCCTACCCCCTTTGCCTTTTTATGGACTGGGGACAGAACCCTGGGTTCACATATACAGGGCAAAGGCTCTGCCTCTGAGCTGCACTTCCAACTCTGAAACACTGTCATTAAATCGAAATCAACAATTCAAAGGCTTTAAAATTATTCACCACTTTTGCAGTTCCAATACACCAACTACTCCAACTGATGTATTTGCTTATTTACATGATTATTCTCCAAAGAGAATTAAAGAGGAATGACACAATTGGTACTCAGACTACCATAACACATTTCTTCCTGGTAAATACTCAAGGTACATTTTGTGGTTTGATAATACATCAAAACTGCTGTGGCTTCTAAAAAGGAAAAGAAACTACACACTTACATGAGAAACTACAAACCAGGCCAATACCATGGCACCATATCCTCTGCTAAAGCATGAATGACACACAAGGAAATGGTTGTGGTTTTACTTAAAATCTGATTCATAAATATAGGGCAAGCTTCACATAATTCTGTAGTCTTTCAGAATGATTCTCAGCAACAGTTCTTGCATCATTCTGTAGAAAATGTTCTAGACTATAAAAACCAAGGCCGACCAATCTACTTTATGGACTATAGTTGTATTTACAGAAAGCACACAATTTAATGATCTGATTCTCAAAGATTCTCAGTAATTATTACTAAGTTAGTTGGTTTAATGTCTAAGTCTTCATTTCCTGCTGCCTAACAGGAGCTCACAAATGCTGTTAAGTTTTTTTTTTTTTCTTTTCTTTTCTTTTTTTTCTTTCTAGAGACCAGGGCTACTGAGCAACATCTTCCATTTCTCTGCAAAACACTCATCACATATATGGGTGAACTGCAAATGGAGTACTGCCAAGTAAAGAGAAAATTGAAAATAAGATTCATTTCTACTAAACTGGGCATCAAAAGTCAAATTTTAAAAATTCTAAAACTAGGCCTGGAGAGATGGCTCAGAGATTAAGAGAGCTGGTTGCTCTTCCAGAGGACCAAGGTCCAATTCCCAGCACCTACATGGCAGCTCACAACTGTCTGTAACTCCAGTTCCAGAGGATCTGACACCTTCACACCAATGCACATAAAATAAACTTAAATATTTATTTAAAAAATTCTGAAACTAACCAAAAAAGCACAGGCCAAGGAAATATTTTAGGATTTACATTTTCCCACCAATAGAGGCATCATTAATTAAATGTCAGTTTTTTTCTGTGGCTGGTGGGCCCCCTCTTACTAGCTCTGTGATAGACGCTGGTATCATATGTCTGACAAAGCTTAAAAGCAAATTATAATCAGAACAAACTGTTTCCAAGGAACTTAACTGATACCTACAGAACAACTCAAGTACTTTCCTGGAATACAAAGTATTTAGAGACTTCGTGTCCAATGTAAATAATCAATAAACATGACCTATTGTGAAAAGAAAAAAAAGAAAACCAACCAAAACAGAAGCAGAAATGGTAGAAAATATAATCATAGACAAGGGCATTTAAAAATTTTACTTCATAGCATAGAAAAATAGAAAAAAGCTTAAGAAAAATTGGAGGGCTAGAGATAGAAAAATGTAAGTTCTGACATAAAAACACAGGTAAACTCAAATGTTTGCTAAGACTGTGGAGAGAAGCTGAGCAAACATGAGAATAAAATAATTCAGCTTTAGATGTGTAAAGTTGCAATGTCACATGACAGTACAGGGGATATGAGACTAAGACTCAAAACAGGTTGAATGTACAAGGTACAGACAATTAAAAATTGTTTTAATATAATCTCAGACTTTGAAATAGTTATAAAGATAACATACAGAGCTTCTGTGAACCCAGTACTCAGTGTTAACCAATGTGAAACTATTGTAATCAACAAACTAACATTAACTTAATGCTACTAAAGCTAATTAATCTACAGATGTCACTCAAATTTTGCTAAGATCCAGGATGCAGTATGAGATCCTACACTATGTTTGGGTCCATGTCCTCTTAGTCTCTGTCACCCTGGGATACTTGCTTTCATATTATTTATTCTGAGTTTGTCTGGTATTTGCTTATGACCAGATTGGGATTAGACACCTTGGTATCCTTTTCAATACATAGTATCAAAAACTGTGCTGTGCTATAAACCATTAGAAATTATTCCTCCTATCCTGCAGCTCTGTACCAATTAACAATTATCCTTCCACCAATCCTTCCCCTATATTTTACTGAGGCTCTAAGAATAATTATTCTATAACTACTTCCTTAATAATAGCTTTCTAAGCCGGGCATTGGTGGCGTATGCCTTTAATCCCAGCACTCAGGAGGCAGAGGCAGGTGGATCTCTGTGAGTTCGAGGCCAGCCTGGTCTCCAGAGCGAGTGCCAGGAGAGGCTCCACAGCTACACAGAGAAACCCTGTCTCGAAAAACCAAAATAATAATAATAATAATAATAATAATAATAATAATAATAATAACAATACTAACAATAAAATAATAATAGCTTTCTAAGTGTCTATATAATTGAGAGTTTGCAGTATCTTTTTGCTTGTACCCAGTTACTACTGTGGTGTTTACCAGTGCTGATTTCAATCTCCATCATTCTTCTTGAATTGATTGATTAGAATTCTACTGTAAGGAAAAGTAATCCTTTCTTCCTATGCATTTATTCAACTCTTTACTTGTATCAGTAGTGACTCATAAATATTTTATTCTGCAGGTTTTAATCCATTATTATTACTAATTTTGTGTCTCAAATAATTGGCCATCTAGAGTTCATTCAGATTAGTTTCAATGTCGTTTATTCATATCTATCTGTCCATTATTTTTAAGAGTATTTTTTACTTTTTAATTTCATAAGATATTCTAGCCTTATCACATATTTTCCTTATCCCAGCCCTGAAAGCAGCCACTGTTTTTTTTTTTTTTTTTTTAATTGGACTTGTACGAATATTGCAGCCATTAACCATATTTGGCTATTAAGTAAAATTAAACAAAATTAAAAAGCATTTAATCATATAAGCCATATTTCAAGTCTTCAATAGCCACATAGAGCTGATAGGTATTAAATTGGGAGTGAATATGGCACTCATATTAGACACATTTGTGTACAATCCTGTGCACATACTACTCCCCAAGCCCCTACATCTTTAAACAAAATGTCTTTGAGAAGTCTGCCTTCAAAGGAGAGCAGAAAAATGAGGATAAGTTAGCTAACAGTTAGGGGCAGATAAGTACAAGTGTCTCAGAGGCATGCATTTTAGGATAGGAGATATATATATATATATATATAACAAGGTCAGTGAGACTCAGGAGATGATGATGTAGGAAAAAAACATAACCAAAGGCCGAGTGTTGGTGGCGTACACCTTTAACCCCAGCACTCGGGAGGCAGAGGCCAGCCTGGTCTACAGAGCGAGTTCCAGGACAGGCTCTAAAACAATACAGAGAAACCCTGTCTTGAAAAACCAAAACCAACCAACCAACCAAACAAATAAATAAATAACATAACATAACCATAGGAAGAAAGTCCTTGATGTGGGGGGAGCAACTACAAACCCTGCAAGATATACTGGTGGAACAGTGGCACAAACGTTAAGAATAAACAACCCCTGCTTTTATTTAAGGCCCACTCCAGGAGAAGGAACCCAAACCCGACACTACTAAAGTGGCCAAAAAAACCCAAGACTAGACAGGTCATGGGCCTAGGGGAAAATCTACTACTATTATTTTACTAAAGGAACATAGCAATGACTCCTAGTAACATCATGCTATAACCATAGGTAAGTGCATCCTTTAACCTTCGTCAGGTAAGCTTCTTACTGCAGTAGATGGGGATTAGCACAGACACCCACAACTGGACAATGTGCAGCTAGTGAGAGACTTGGGAAACTCAGTTCTAAGTGGGATGTCTTCATCAAATCATTCCTTCAAGGCTCAGGGGTCTATGTAGAAAAGGAGGCAGAAAGATTCTAGGAGTCAGATGTAATGACTCCAAGAAAACGACTGCTAGAGACAACAGGGTTGATATACTTATGAACTCACAGAGACTGTGATGACATGCCTAAGACCTACAGAGATTCAAACAAGACAAAATTCCAGCATTGAGAAGTACATGCAAAGAAGCTAATTGCAACTGAAAACTGCTGGGAAGTCAGAGGCCCTTACCTATGACCTTGCCATACCTTAATGTAGAAAGATATGTCATTTAATCCACATTCAATAGAAATTAGTTGAATATATAATGACTTGCCATAACCTGAGTGGACTAGATGAAAAAAAAAAAAAAAAAACTGGATCCATCAGCTTTGTAAAGAATGATATATGAGAGTTTCATTTTGAAGTTTCTGAAATATTTAAAATAAGCAGTTGGTCTAAGAATGTAAAGTAGAGAATTATTTCTAGATAATTTTGGCAAAAAGTAAAAGTAAAAAAGATATGCTTACTGTACAACAAGCTGCTGGCACACAGTTCCATTCTCTGTTATCAGTTCATTCAGTTTTAATTCAAGGTGAACTTTTCCCTATAACAACAACAACAAAAAAGTGTAAACTGAACAGTCTATTTTGCTAACAAAACATTACAATGTACTTTTGTCCAAATAGCACATATTTAATTATCCACTAACCACTATCACATGGCTCTGCAATACTTAGTTGTTAAATGCCTGACAATCAATAATGTATATATGAAAGTTCTGAAAGAAAACAGTCTAATACTAATATTAAATATGATATGCAAAATTTTAAGAACTTTATGCCCTGTTTAATAAGTGTTTATGTACCTCAATGACCACAGTTTTTCCTTAAAGATGGCACTTATGTTTTTGGTAAAATTAAAGAGAAATTAATTTCTAAAGCTATAAAATTAAGTTAAAGACAGTAAGAATCAATTTTTTAAAACTTACTTCTATCAACTACTTTTTTCAACTACTAAATTAATATAGCAGAATATATTTATATAATTTAACATAGCAGATTCAATATCTGCCATGTTTTAGGAGATACCATGGGAACAGATAGGAACAAACAAATGTCTAAGGTACAGTCACTACCTACCAGAAGTTAGCAAACTAGCCAGGGATACATAAATTAAAGTGTAACAATACCTGGCCAAAATCATTGATGGAAAGACTGAAATATAAACAGAGTTCTCTCTGATACATAGTTGTTCAGAACTGGGTTTAAAACACAGTTTAGTAAGTTTAAAGCAATTCAAGCTGTCAGCTTCCTCAAGAAAAGAGCTTAGGAACAACACAATCTAGAGCTTGGTTATCTTTTCCCTTCACCGGTGATGAAACAGTCAGAGCGCTGCATTGCCTCTACCCAGCTGACGAGACACATTCCCACAGTGCCAAGTGGAGATCTTGGGTACAATGTCTAGCAGCTGGTGAACCAAGTGATCTTATCAGAGGCACAATTTCTAACAGGCCTTAGTAATAAAATAACAATAAAACAGAAAATAAAGCAAAAATCCAGCAAATAACTAGGAACTATGAAAAGAATTAAATGAAAAATTTAGAATTAAATAATAAAGTAAGTGAAATGAGATATATTTAACATTAGATCAGCTGCAGCTGAAGAGTAATAAAAAGGAGAGGTTAATCAGTAGAAAATACTCATAATGAAGCCCAGAGAAGGGAAGAGCATGTGAGGGTGTGTGTGTGTGTGTACATACGTATATAAATCCTGATATCAAATTAGAAAATGCATGACAATTTATGCATATTTCAGAAAAACTGAAATAATCAGGCAAAATGCAATGCATGAAAATAAAATCCTCTTATGTCTAGACACGCTCTAAATTATAAACATTTAAATATTAATAATTTCCTTATAAAAACAACTCAGTATGTTCCAGGGTTTGTGAGCCTGTTCCATGGTTAAGAATGCTGGGTGCTCCTGCAGGGAACCCACTTCAATTCCCAGCACCCACATGGCAGCTCACAACCATCTGGAATTCTAGCTTTGGGAGACCTGATGCATCTTCTGGATTCCAAGAGCACCAAATATGCACATAGTGTACACACACACACACACACACACACACACACACAGACTCACAAAGACACATAAAATACACAAATTTAAAAAACAAATTTAAAAGAACTTGGTATGTTTCAACTGTTTTTTAAAAACTTCTTAAGAGGAGAGCAAAAAGTAAAACTTATGGCTTCTGACAGATTTTTGCTGTTTGCTTTTGAGATCAAGTCTTTCTTTACTGTCTAAGCTGTTCCTGAAGTCAGATTAGATGACCATTCTGTGTCAGCCTCCAGAGTAGCTGGAATTACAAGTGTGCATCACCACAGCATCTGGCATGGCTTTTTGTTTGTTTGTTTTTCAAGACAGGGTTTCTCTGTGTATTTTGGAGCTTGTCCTGGCATCGAACTCACAGAGACTCGCCTGCCTCTGCCTCCCTAGGGCTGGAATCAAAGGCATGTGCCACCAACTCCCGGCTGGCATGGCTTTATCTACAGAAACTGCCTCTGTAAATAATTTTGGACACAATTGTCTGTCACATAAAACACAAAGTTTTACTTTATAACATCTCTTATATCAGGTTTGTTTTCCTCTTTGAACAATAATAATGAGATAGAAAGCAGGGAACAGTGAAGCACGTCTTTAGTCCCAGCACTCAGGAAGCAGAAGCAAGAAGATCTCTGAGTTTGAGAACAGCCTGGTCTACACAGTGATTTCCATGCCAGTCAGGGTTACACAGGGAGACCTTGTTTCAAAATAAAAAAACAAAAATTTAAAAATTAAATTAAAAGAGATAGAATGGCTAATTTCTGTTATTTCCCATGTACAAATTTATAAAAGAAGTTTTAAAAAATCAACTTATAATAATGGATTATACTTTTATATTCATGATGCCTTAACTGAGCATGTGTTTAATAAACTAGTAGAGATTTCTTCTTAAATGTTGTTTAAAATGGTTTTAAAACAAAGGCCATGAAGAAAAATATGTAACAGTCAATAACTTATGGTATAATCCAGATGCTCAAGATTATCCTGTTGGGTAAGACTTAATAAGTAATTGCATCAAAAGGACATAACTGACATTCATCTGGGTTTGTTGTCTGTACAAGTTTGTGGGACACCACCCATAATTAACAGTCTTGTGTAAGTAAAGTATGTTCTGTATCATGGTACCTAAGAAACAAGAATGGAACAAAGCTTAAAAGCCGTGAGTTCCAGCATCTTTACAGCTGAGAGGATGGCTGTAAGAACTGAAGCCAAACAAAATTTACAGAAGGCACTGGCACAAGCTTGTATGGAACTGGCACAAGCTATACTAACTTTACTTGTATGGAAGAAAACACAGAAAAAGGACACCAAGTGGAACACAATGTCTACCAGAATCATAACCAGGACTAGAACCTAAGGCGGAAAATGCTTTGAAATGAAAGAAACAGTCAGCCAGAATCAAGACCTGATTAGAAGTCAAGGAAAGGAAGGGCTAGAAACGCCCAATGAACTTAGTGGCATAATGTCCTAAGTAGGGCGAGCCATTTATTTGTGCTTTCCTCAGACTCACTGCAGAATCTGAAGGTACATTTTCATGGTTTAAGAGTACAGTTCAACCCAGAGGGAAAAATGGCAAAACACAGAACCAAGAAAAAAATTCAGCGTGTTATGAAGAAAGCAAAAAAGGGGCTGAAAAAAAAATGTCTTAGTGGTTAAGAGCATTCACTGCTCTTGTAGAAGACCCAGGTTTGACTCCCGGGACCTATAGGGTGGCTCACAACCACTTGCAACTCCTGTTCCAGGGGATCTGATGCCCTCTTCTGACTTCTATGGGCTTTGCACACATGGGACACATACACATATACACAGGCACATACACATAACATATTCTTTTCAAAAAATTTGTCAAGGAGATGAAGACATGGCTCAGCAGTTAAGAGCACTGGCTGCTCTTCCAGAGGACCTGGGTTTTACTCTCAGCACCTACATGGAGAGTCACAACCATCTGTAACTCCAGTTCTAAGAGGTCCAACACCCTCTGGCTTCCACAGGCACTAGGCACACATGTGGTGGAAACATACTTATAGGCAAAACATTCACACACATAAATTTTTTAAATTAAAATTCTGTCCAAAGCTGGGTAGTGGTGGCGCACACCTTTAATCTCAGCACTTGGGGGGCAAAAGCAGGTGGATCTTTGTGAGTTTGAGACCAGGCTGGTCTACAAGAACTAGTTCCAGGACAGTCTCCAAAGCCACAGAGAAACCCTTTCTGGAAAAACAAAAAACAAAATTCTGTCCAAAAAGGTAGAAAATGCACTCATTAAATTCGGCTATCATGAACTTCTGAAAAAAAAATAACTGCAATAATAAAGTAGCAAAGTAAAAGGCTAAAATATTTAAACTGTTTAGGTATAAAATACAAGTTACTAGTAGAGATCTCCTTTGAAAACAAACTACATTTCTGCATGTCACTTATTGTGTCTTTACAAGCAAAGACAATCCTTCACACTGAGATCCTCATTACACTGATGATCCTTGGGCAACAATCATCAGTAATCATTTGAGCTTCAAATGCTAATTAGTGGTAACAATAGGAAATTAAATGTCTCCCTCTCTGAGATAAAGATACTAATCATTTCATCCACTCAAGCCTTTAGACAAACAGGCCTAACCCAAACTCCAGAATGTACTACCCTATAATGTTTCTTCCGACCACACCAAATTAGACTTCAGTGGATAGTGACCCAAATCTAGCCAACTTCTCTGCAAATTTTGAGTCAGATGTTTGAGGATGAGGAAGCTATATTTGTACAGAGACTCAAAGATGAATATTGCATTTTTTGGAGTCAATAAAAGAGTAAATTCACAGAAAGAAACAAAGAGGTACGTGCTCTCATTAGACATACAAAAAGGATAGGTGAAATCTTATCTTTAAGACTCTTTACATGTGGCAGAGGAGGTAGCTTGGTTAGTAAAGCGCCTGCCACACATGCATGAGGATGACATTTAATCTCAACCATCTACCCAGAAAAATGGGTGTGAAAAAGATGAGTGTCTAACTACATTCTAAATACTTGCCTTTACACCCACAGTTAAGTGTAGTACTAGTCTGAAATATCAAGGCAACTTCTCTTTGCAACAGACCAAGACCATTACAGAAAACCATAATCAACAAAATGCAGAGTGTAGAGCCCAGTCCCAACAGACACATCTACAATTCAATTCCTTTACCTAAGGCCTAGGGTCACTGTGCAAGGGGGGGATGGAAAGATGGTGAGAACCAGAGGATCAGGGAGTCTGCTGTGAAACTGTGTCTCCTAGTAATGTTACGGAGTACACCCATAAAGTTTCACCAACAGAAAGCTAATGGGGATTGAGATGAGGGTATTCCAGGAGGCCCCAATCCTACACAAAGAACTATAGCCACCTAAGGAATGCTGACAGCAGGAGAAAACAGTCCTTTCCAGGGAAGAACACACCAATTGGTTATCTGATACCAAACTGGAGGCCCTGAAAACATACATCAGACAGCATTGTACAGATTGAGCAGGTTGCAGTTATGAATTTAAGAGTATATGTACATACATACATACATACATACATAAGTATATGCAACACCAACTGATAGACATGAATTTGAAAAAGAACAAGGAAAGATATATGGGAGGGTTTGGAGGGAGGAAAAGGAAAACAATGTAATTATAATCTCAAAAAATTAAGAAATGACTCTTAAAAAAGATGGATGTGATATTGTGTAATTGTAATCCCAATGTTAGAGAGGCAGAGACAGGCAAATCCCCAGGACTCACTGAGCAGCAAGTCTAGCAAGTTAGTGAACTCCAGGTCCCAAGGAGAGACCTTATCCCAAAAGCAAGAGGGAGCAGCTTGAAGAATGATACCCAAGGTTATTCTCTGGCATCTAAATGTACAAGCTCACAAGTACATGGGTGCGCGCGCGCGCGCGCGCGCGCGCGCAAACACACACACACACACACACAAAATTCCCCCATAGCCCCCAAATATTTTTTCTCTTTATTTTACAAGTATAAAGTTGTTACAATGAAAGTGAAAGAAGAAAAAATTAACTATTCTCTCTACAAAATGAAAGATAAGAAAACATAAAACATGAAAAGAAAGAAATCAATCAGCAGATCTCAGTCCTACCTGCCTTACAGCAGACACTGCTTCCGGGTTGAGGTCTCCTCATAAGGATGACACTACACAGTGTTCATTCATCAAAGCCCCAAATAAAAACTTTCTCTGTGGCAGTCAACCATTTTATGAGAATTTAAAGTCACTTCAAAGATCACTTTTAGCTTATGTGAACTTTTATCTTGTCTGCTATTGTCAGAACCTAACTGCCAATCAACATGCAGCTTTTGTGCAAATGCCTGATTGAGGAGCTCACAAGCTCCCTAGGGACTTTCTAATGCACCCCCACTAGGCAGTCCAGTGCTGTGATTAGACTCAGACAGATCTCCACTGAAATCACAGTTTCTATGACTGGAGAAGTCAGTATATCTTTTAATCCTATTAAAATATAAGACTATCTACTTCATAGTGCTATTCTGGACTTTAAATGACATAATGTATACTAAGTACTCACTGTTGTACTTGGTACATACTTTTATCATTACTAAAAGTAATCATGAGATGGAATCCTGGCTAAATTCACTCTCATCACTTTCTATATTATCACCTATTTTTATGTTTTCATGTTTTTTTTTAAGTTAAAAACATGCAAGGTAAACAAACACTAACAGACTAGGCTCTGTATTAAGTATGGGCTGTTTTCATATCTTTTCTACTTACAAGGTTAATGTGGTATTCTCAGATTGGTTTGTGGCTAAATAATAATATTCCCAATAATACCATGTTATCTTAAAAAGTATTATCCATCCCTCCCACCTCCTACAGCATTCTTCTTTTACAATATATTTTAAATAACGGGTAAATCTTGCTAATTACTATTTAAGATAAAAGTTCTGGAAAAGTTAATGACTAATAGTCACGAAACCAAACAGTACTAAAATTTAAAATGCCAATACTATATATAAAATATAAATGCTACTTTAAGTACTTTCATGTTTCAGAGGTGACAGTTTTATATATACACTGTCAAAAGCCCGTGCCACAGTATTAGTTTCTAGTATTGTCTCCAAGTATTACATAAAGAATACCCTATAGGGTCCAACATTTTCAGAACAAAATCTTTAAATCCTTCAGAAAATTCACACTGGTCATTAAGAATGCATTTAATAAATAAATTGTACTGAATCTTCTAATCCATTTCAAAATCTCAAAGCCCTTCTTTGTCTTCCCTTGTGTTCAAATTACTAGAAAGATTAGAAGGGTGCAGTGATGCATGTCTATAATCCCAACACTAAGGAGATTCTAAGGTGTACAGCCAACCTCAGGTACACAGTGAGCACCATCTCCAAAAAGGTTAACACCATACCCAATTTCTCATGTGGACTATATATAGAAAATGTAGTAAATCATGTCAAAAAAGAAAGTAAATTGGTAATTTTGTAAGGCTACATTAGAAAGGCACCTGTATTGACTAGTTTTATGTCAACTTGACACAAGCTAGAGTTATTTGAAAGGAAGGAACTTTAATTGAGAAAATGCTGACATAAGATCCAGTTGTAGCAGGGCAGTGGTGGCGCATGCTTTTAATCCCAGCACTCGGGAGGCAGACAGATCTCTGTGAGTTTGAGACCATCCTGGTCTAAAGAGCTAGTTCCAGGACAGCCTCCAAAGCCACAGAGAAACCCTGTCTTGAAAAACCAAAAAAGAAAAAAAAAAAAAAAGATCCAGTTGTAGAGCATTTTCTTAATTAGTGATTGATGAGGAAAGGCCTAGCCCATTGTGGGTGGTGCTACCCCTGGGCAGGTGGTGCTAGGTTCTATAAGAAAGCAGGCTGAGCAAGCCATGAGGAACAGCCAGTAAGAGCACTCCTCCATGGCCTCTGCCATCAGAGCTCCTGTCTCCAGGTTCCTGCCCTGTTTGAGTTCCTGCTCTGACTTCTTTCAATGATAAAGTGTCTTAATTTGGGTTTTATTGCTGTGAAAAGACACCATGACCATGGGAACTCCTTTTATAAAAAGGAAAACATTTAATTGGGGCTGGTTTATAATTCAGAGGTTTAGTTTATTACCACAATGTTGAGAAGCAAGGCAGCTTGTAGGTAGAAATGATGCTGGAGAAGGACCTGAGAGGTCTACATCTTGATCGGCAGGCAGCAACAAGAGAGTGCCACACTGGGCCTAGCCTGAGCATCAGAGACCTCAAAGCCCACCCGGAGTCACCCACTTCCTCCATCAAAGCCACAAACACTGCAGAAGGTCACACTTCTTAATAGTGCCACTCCCTATGAGCCTATGGGGCCATTCATTCAAACTGCCACAAACAGCAATATGGAAGTATTTTAAGTCAAATAAACTCTTTCCTTTCCAACTTGCTTTTTTGGTCACAGTGTTTCATCACAGCAATAGAAACCCTAACTAGGACACCACCAGACTGACTGGTAGTAACAAATTTACATTTGCATAGAAACGAATAGGTTTGTCTGTTTATTTTAAAAACAAAAGTTTATGCAGCCTGGCTGGCCTTAAAATTCTATCTTCACTTCCTAGGTTCTGGGATTACAGGTATATACCACCATATTCAGTTTCTGTGATTCTGGGGAGCACACCCAGGTCTTTGAGCATGCTAGTCAAACACTCTAACAACCGAACTACAACACAGCTCAAAATTAACAGTTTTAAAGTATTCTTCTCATGCCATATGAGTCCTATATGGTGAGTTTTATTCTCATTTTACAGAAATGAAGCCAAAGATCATCAAAATAACCATATATTAAAAACACCAAGTAAAAATTTTCTGACTTCTAATTTCAGCCCATTCTACTTCCTCACATTGCTTCTCAACTGGGTTATTGACAATGCCTATTGGGATCTGAATGATACTTTAGAGTCAAATGAAAAGATTGAGTATTAAAATGGGGTGGAGCAGATATAAAGTAAAACCAATACTTGGCTGTATTGTGTACTTTAGAGATTTCAGCACACAATACGTATTTTTGAGAATTTAATCTTAGAGATTGCATGAAAGGTTATGAGGAAATGAAGACACACTTATTTGCAAAATATCTGTGGGTATGTTTTTATCCTCTTATCTTAAACTTCTATTTGAGACCTAGTGGCAAATTATAGCCTCCTTAAGAAAGGAAGAATCCTGATTGCAATTATGTTCTTAGAAATAGTTTCACGATCATTACTGTATTTAAGAAGTAGAGTTACAAAAAAGAAAAACGATTGCTTTAGAAATAATTCTTAAGTCATAGAAACTTAGGTTTCCTAGAAACTTCAACTACTTGGCTAAACAAACATTTCTGTTCATATATAGAATCTATACACGGCCTTTTATTTTGGCAAGAGGAAAGAAGAAACTAACAAGCATAATGATACCCTTCAAATAAAAAGAGGTGGACAGGAAGGAAGAGGTAGGAATGAAGGCTGTGCATTGAAGATCCAGGCATGGTTTAAATAAGTAACATTTTTTTCCCATCTAGTTTATTAGAAATGGAATAAAAGCATCCTGATAAGAATGAATACAACCAGACTTGCATGTATTCCCTAAAGGACAGAGTTAATACATTATCCTTTCCTTTAAAATGTTCTCCTCTTTTAAAAAAGCATTATTTTGAAACTGGGACTCAGAAATGTAGGAAATGTCCTCTTGCTGAGTGTGGCAGCACACACCTTTAATCCCAACACTGGAAGGCAGAGACAGGTGGACCTCTATGAGTTCTAGGCCAGCCTAGGCTATAGTGTGTTAAAGGACATAGAGTGGCCCTGTCTCAAAAACAAACAACAAAATTCCTAAACCCTTATGTGTACACATGCATACATTATTTTTATTGTAATTATCAATGCACATCAATTGCACTGACTAATGGATTTCACTGTGGCATTTCTAGAAATGTATATATTGTACTTTGCTCATGACAACTTTCTTGAATATGTCTTTTAGACTTTAGATTTTGTGGTTAGTTCTCTATGAATACATGTATGTGTATGTGTGCAGGTGCCATGAACACGAATGGAGGTCAGAGGTGAGAGTTGGTTCTCTCTGGGGATTGAGCTCAGGTCATCAGGCTTGGCAGCAAGTGCCTTTACCCAGTGAGCTATCTCACTGTTCATACCTTATTTTTATATCCCCATGAAAGAGCTACTTCCTTCTAGCTCCCTATTACTAGAAGGTCTACAATGTGTGGCATTAGAACTTAAAAACAAGGTACAACAAGTTCTAACAGTATACACTAGTATAATTAGTTGGTTTTCATTCATTTTTCTGTATGTCACAATCACATGCAGTACTTAACTTACCTGAACTTCTGAATTCGAGTCAATAGGCTGCAGTGAAAACCAAGTTTCTTTACCACTGTGATTACACAAGTCTTCTTTTTTGATGGCTACTTTTCCTACAGAAAATAAATGAGAAAATATAGTTTATACAATCTTACCACTTATAAGCAGTATTGAATACTTTATAGAAAATACTTAGTCTTGAATCTGTTGATATAAAAATCCACTACCACCCTTTTCTTTGAAATAGGATGTTGCTATGTAGCTCTAGCGGTCCTGGTACTTGTTACATAGCCCAAGATAGACTTGAACTCATGGTAATCCTCCTGCCTTAGCTTTCCAAGTGCTGGAATTACAGATTTTTATTTAATTATTTGGAATAGGGTTTCTCTATGTAACAGTTCTCAAACTCTCTTTGTAGACCAGGCTGGCCTCAAACTCACAGAGATTCACCTGCCTCTGCCTCCAAAGTACTGGAATTTAAGGTATGCACCACCACTGCCTGGCTGGGAGTACAGATTTTAAAAACCTTTTTCTATATTTTTTTTCTCCTATATCCTAAAAGAGAAATGTCTTATTTCTGTTTGTCCATTGGCAGACCCTTTTGTGGGTCATTCTGAATCAGGGGATTAGAAAAACTCAGCCATAATCCCAGCACTCAGGAGGCAGAGGCAGATAGATCTCTGTAAATTTGAGGACAATATGGTCTAAAAACAGAGTTCCAGAACATCCAGGGCTGTTATACAGAGAACCCCTGTCTCAAAATACCAGGAAAAAAAGAAAAAGAAGAAAAAAAAAAAAAAAAGAAAGAAAGAACTCAGTTGGACTCTAACATAATTGTATTTTAGCACTGTAATTTACTCAGATTAATATTTTTCTAGTACATTCAGGATAAAAAACAAAATATAAGTGGCAGTGCAATATAATTTTCCAAGTTCTATAAGGCTATGAATGAAGTGTTATGTGTTGGCTATTTTTGAGCAGTTTCAGCTGCATTTAACAAGAGGTTAGGTGTTCCAATTAAGTGAAAGGACAAACATTATCACCTATTAATGATAAAAATTATCTTTTTAAAATTTCACTTTATCAAAACATGATTAAACTGACTATACTGCTTCAATTCACACATTTTAAAAATCAAGGCAGCTCTCTAAATTTCCTCTCTACTGGGGAAAGATAATGAATGTACCATGAACAAAGTAGTATGAAAGAAACAAATGATATTTAAATGAAGTATTTGCCATGTTGGTGCAAATCATTTCCTTCCTCAATTCAAGTTTTAAGAAGTAGACATAGTTTTGCATATGATTAACAATTCAAAGACTGCACAAAAGTTCCAACAAAGGAGTTATGCTCCAGTTTAAAAGCAATTCACTTTTTTCCTTTTTTAAAAAGCAACTACTTGGGGTTGGTAAGCACACTGGTTACTCTTCCAAAGGACCCTCAATTTCCAGCACCCGCATGGCAGCTCACAACTGTCTATAAACCCGGTCCTAGGGGATCTGATGCAATCACCTCACACACAAATTCAGACAAAACACCAGTGTGCCTCAAAAACCAAACAAAACCAAAAAACCCAAAAACAAAACAAAAACAAACAAACAAACAAAAAAACCCCATCAAAAACAAACAAAAACCCCAAAATCTACTTTCAGGTACCGCAAATGTATGTTATGCCCTCTTGCTTGCAACATAGCTTACTTTTAGTTCAGCAGTTGAAAACACAAAGAAAATGACAAACTTTTATGAGAAGAAGTGTCAACTTTCAGCTATCAAGTGAAAAGAAAGACTTTAGAAAAATAAACGCAGAAAAACTTATGTTTAAAGTATTCTGCACCCCCCAAGCAGATGGTGACTATATATACTAAAAAACAAATACTGCATGCCTTTCTCATTTTACAAATATTTTATCTTGATAATCCCAGCACTCTGGAGCCAAAGGCAGGTGGATCTCTGTGAGCTTGAGGTCAGCCTGGTCTACAAGTGCGTTCCAGGACAGCCAGAGCTACAGAGAAATCCTGTCTTGGAACAAAAAAAATTATTGAGTTGCACCTACCTATACGAAGATCTCTTTGTAAAACATTCTTATCATAAACATAAAATGACAAATACTGGAAGGTTCTTGGAATCTCAAAGTAAAATTCTTCACTGAAGTATGGTCTAGAGAGAAAAGAGAAAGCTCATTATGCCAAATAATATGTAATTTATTACTATTAAATAATTCATTACTACCACTATTAAAATGGCACTGTTAAATAAAATCATATTCAAATGTCATTTTCAATAAACATCAATGAAATTATAAACTAAGATTCTTTAGAAAAGAACTTCAAAAACCCCAAAATTATTCTCAATACCGTTTCAGACAAATCCTATACAAATCAAGCTGAACTGAAAAGACCTCAGGTGCCAAAAGAATTCCAAACACATAGCTTTTCAGAAGGTCCAGGAGACAAAGATCTAGTAATTGCTTAGGCCATGCTCACCTAAAGCAGACCTAAATGAGAGCCAAGAACAAAGCCATCTACATTACTATAACTATGTAATTATATGTATAATTAATTTAAAATATAACTACTAGAAATATATAACTATATAAAATTGTATTGGCCACAATAATACCTACCATCGAAAATGGAAAATACTACATAAAATATTTTAAAATGTATTATAAATATTACTAAATATCTTCATTGTCTTTCCTGAATTATTTATAAATTCTATGGAGGTTGGTGGCCTTTGATAAATTTACAAAACTGTGTAGCTTCCATCCCAATCAAAATATAGAATGGGTACCACTCTAGAAAGTCCCCTTATGCTCCCAATAGTACCTTAAACAACTAGTTATATGGGGGTGGGGGAGTCCAGGGCCTAGAACCTGGGGCCTTGTATATACTAGGCAAGAACTCTACCACTGAGTCATATTCTTAGCCCAGTGATAAGATTTCTTTCTATTTGTGTGTATATGTGTACACATATGTGTGCAGGTGTGAGTGTATGAGTTGAAGTCCACAGGTCAATCAATGTTGAGTGTCTTCCTCAATCTGTCTCCACCTTATTTTTTTGAGAGTCTTTCCCTGAGCCTGGATTTTCCTATTCTAACAGGCCCAGCTCATTTTCATGCCATGGCAAATAGCTTTTTACACGGGCACTGAGGATCCAAACTTTGGTCCTCATGCTTGCACAACTAGCACTTTACTGACTGAGCTATTTCCCCAGCCTCAGTGATTTGATTTGTGTGTGCATGTATGTGTGATCAGAAGTTGAAGTATCTTCCTCCATTTGTCTCTACCTTATTTTTTGACACAGGGTTTCTAGCTGAACCTGTAGCTCACTAATTTGGCTATACCTACTGGCCAGCAAGTTGCAGTGATCCTGTTGTCTCCACATCCTCAGTCTTGGGATTTTACAAGTGTTTATAAAATGAAGTTCTGAATGCTTTCAAGGCAAGCACTTTATCAACTGACTCATTATGGTTGGGGAAGAGGTGTGGGAGGCCCCGTTGGCAGTTAATGGCTATTGGAAAAGGAGAAATCATTTTCTTCAGTGATGTAGCCATTGGTTAGTTGCCCATGCTCCAGTAAATAATGTCCTACCCATGCTTATTCAAGCAGCCCAAATTAAACACAGTGGGTCACACACATAAAAAAATACATGAAAATAAGGGAACTTGTGGAAAGGAGTTCAGAGAGTGTATGAGGGGTATGATTAAAAACAATACATTCATGTACAGAATTGTTGCAGGACATCTGAGCTAACTGTGTAAAGATGTATCGCTGTTTTACTTTGCCTGTCTAAGGCACCAAATTAGTTTAATAAAGAGATGAATGGCCAAGAGAGGTTAGGTGGAACTTCTGGGCAGAGAGAGGAATGAATCTAGGCTTGTGAGAAACATGAAACAAGACACGAAGGGAGTTAGACACACAGAATGGAAAAGAGGTAAAAAGCCACATGGCAGGATGTAGATTAATAGAAACAGGTTAATTTAAGCTAAGAGAGCTAGTTGGGAACAAGCCTAAGCTAAAGGTCAAGTTTTTATAATTAGGACGTCTCTGTGTCATTATTTGGAGGCTGGCAGTCCCAAAAAAAGTCCAACTACACAAAATGTTCAAAGATTGAATTAAAAATAAAACCTATCTCCCAGAAACTCCCCTTACATGCTCTGCAATTACCCTACCACACTGTGAGTCTGATGGGGGATGTCCTTCTGTATATATGTTTCTCTTATTGATTGATGAACAAAACACTGTTTGGCCAATCGCCAGGCAGGAAGATAGGTAGGGCTAGTACTGCAGGAGAATTCTAGGAGAGGAAGACAGAGAGAGGCAGAGTCAGGAGATGCCATGTAGCTGCCAAAGGAGTAAAAGTTCCAGGCATTCTCCAGTAAGCCAAGACCACATGGAAATACATAGATTCATAGAGATGAGTTAATAATTAAGACAGAGCTGGCCAATAAGAAGCCCTAGACATCAGCCAACAGTTTTTACAATTAATATAGCATCCATGTGCTTACTTGGGGCTGAAGGGTGGTGGAACCTGACGGAACAAGAAACTCCAGCAACAACATGAGTCAACTGGTGAAAGTTCTATCATTACATTACTGATTAACCCTAAAAGTGACAAAATGGTTTTAGACTGTGGTTTCTTGATGATTAATGGTGCTCCATCTCTCTTCATGTGTCTCCAAGACATGTGTACATCATCTTTTATGAAATATCTGAGACTTTTCATATTTTACATTTCTTAATTACTAAGGGTTTTGCTTTGATTTAGAAATGTTTAAAAGCAAAATCTCTTACATCATTCTTTTGCAAATTCTACAGTATTTTCTGTTTTATAATTCAAAGTTATAAAAACTAAAAGTCAAGAAAAAGGTTCAGAAAAGTTACAAAGATCTACCATGTAGTTACTTTCAGCTGGATGGTTGATCACAACTTACACAATATCAAGAACATTATAATAAAATCAAGATCAGAAAAGGTTTTTAATATAGACTGTTTTGTCCCATTCTAGAAGGAAAAAATTAGAGGGCATTCAGAATCTAAGAATTATCTAATCTAACTAGCTACACTCTTAAGTGTGTATGGTAGTAACACTGCTATCTTTAAATTATCTTTCAAACTGCTTTCTTGTTTGTAAAGGTGGATAAAGAAATAAAGAAAGCTTGGCAGCACATGCCTTTAATCACAGCACTCTGGAGGTAGAGGTGGATGAATCTCTGTGAGTTCAAGGCCAGTCTGGACTACAGAGGGAGTTCCAGGATAGGCTCCAAAGCTACACAGAGAAACCCTATCTCAAAAAACCAAAGAGAGAGAGAGAGAGAGAGAGAGAGAGAGAGAGAGAGAGAGAGAGAGAGAAAGTAAAGAAAACCGATTTCACCATTTCCCACTACACAAAAAGTTAGAAAGATTAAGGGTTAAAAATATAAGCTAATTCTGGTTATTTTCATATATATGGCTATATATTATAAACTACAAGTACTCAACTTATGGACAATTACTATTTAATTTTATCACTGACTACCTTGTGATATAAAATTGTTGTAACAGACTGAAATTTAGTAATTTCGGGTCTCAAATCCCAGCTGTGATTTTAACTTCCTTTATTACATGACAAATTACTCAGCCTTTTGGTGACATGATTTCATCATTCATAAATGTAAATAAAAAAGACATGTATGAATTTGTATGACAAATGTGAAAAACACCAAGATTCTAAATCAATACGGGCATTTGACTTATGACAAAATTTTTGAAGTGTATTATTCCAAATCTTTTAGGCTACTATTTATTCTTTTTTGAGGAGGAACAATTGTGAACTCAGAGAACAACCAGTGGGAGTTGGTTCTCTCCTTTCACCATGTGGGCTCTGGGTACTTACTTCGGAACAATCTTTGTATACTGTAAATATGTATTGTTCTCCTTGTTAATAAAAAGCTGATTGCCAATGGCTAGGCAGGATTTTTGGGGCAGAGAGAATGCTGGGAAGGAGGGCAGAGTGAGAGGAGTTGCCAGCCAGATGGAAAGGAAGCAGGACATGCAGTAGAAGTAAAAGCCATGAGCCTAAGGACAGCACACAGATTAACAGAAATGGGTTAATTTAAGTTGTAAGAGCTGGTTAGTAATAAGCCTGAGCTATCAGCCGGACATTTAAATTAATAATAAGTCTCTGAGTGGATATTTGGGAGCAACTGCAGGGACACAGAAAAACTCTGACTACAGGTACTGAACTCAAGTTGTTAAGCTTGACAGTTGACACCTTTACCTACTGACTAAGCCTCTACATTGGCTTACTTTAGTTTAATGTGATCCTTTCCTTTTGAAGAGTTCAAAATTAGCTGGGTAGTGGTGGCACACACCTTTAATCCCAGCACTTGGGAGGCAGAGGCAGGTGGATCTCAGTGAGTGTGAGGCCAGCCTGGTCTACAAAGTGAGTTCCAGGGCAGCTAGGACTGATATACAGAGAAACCCTGTCTCAAAATAAATAAATCATTTCAAAAAAGGTTCAAAATTATAAGAACCAAAAGACATAAAAGGGCACACAGAGAGGTATGCCTACAACACAAACATTTCAGAGGCTGAAGTAGGAGTAAGAGGTTCAGGGCAAACCTGGGCTACATAGCAGAAGCCTGTGCAGAGGAAGAGGAGAGGAAGAAAGGGAAAGGGAAGGTGGAGGAGAGAAGAGAAAAGAGAAAGGAAGAACAGGAAGGAGATACAGGCAAACTTCAGAGGAAAAGACAGGCAAGTATAAAGGGGCAGGGGAAGGTAAACAGAACACCAAAACATATTCCAGAAATCCAATGGAATGAAATACAAGTTATGATTACTGTTTCAATCACCACAGTTTAACAACTCTCAGAATCCTCAATTGCGTTGTTTCTGAAGACTATCCTTTCAGTAGTTTGGTGGTGGTGGGGTTTTGTTTGGGTTGTTTGTTTTTGAGACAGGCTCTCACTATGTAGCCCTGACTGGCCTGGACTTCCTATATAGACTAGGCTGACCTCAAACTCAACAGAGATCTACCCGCCTCTGCCTTCTATGTGCTGGGATTAAAAGCATGTGTCATGACACCTGACTTTAGCACAATTCTAAATCAGAATTACAACCACAAACACTGCAACAAGGCAGAGGAGGCAAATTAAGAATTTGCTGTGATACTTTCAAAGTGTAATTACACTTCCAAATATGAAAGCATCCTACCAAGGGCTTGGCTTATCCCGATAATATACTAGCAAGTAACTTGTAAGAAGGGTGTGTGTTCGTTCTTGTGTATATGCAGGTGCAGGGATAGGGAGTATGTGTAGGTCAGAGGGTGACATCAGGTATTTTTCTCAATCATTTTCCAACTTATTTTTTGAGACAAAATCTCTTGTTGAACAATTTGGCTGTACTGGCTGGCCATGGAGCTCCTGGTATCCTCCTATCTCCATGTCCCCAGCACTGGGACTACAAGTGGAAGCTACTGCACCTGGCTTTCTCACATGGTGCTGGGATGGAACACCAATTCTCATATTTGTGCATCAAGTACTTTACCAACTAAGCCAGCCATCTCTCTAGCTCTAACTTGTGTGAACTTTAAGAACTAATTTATTCTTTGGAGAAATAAAATGATGCACTTAGAGGGAAGCTCAAATAAATAGGCAAAAATTTAGTCTAGAGTACAGACTGAAGTCTTAGGATAGTTGTTTTCTCTTCCTTCCTTCCTTCCTTCCTTCCTTCCTTCCTTCCTTCCTTCTTTCCTTCCTTTCTTTCTCTAAAGATTTATTATGTATACAACATTCTGCTTCCATGTATATCTGCACACCAGAAGAGGGCACCAGATCTCATAACAGATGGTGGTGAGCCACAATGTGGTTGCTGGGAATTGAACTCAGGACCTCTGGAAGAGCAGTCAGTGCTCTTAACCACTGAGCCATCTCTCCGGCCCCACGATAGTTGTTTTCAAACATTTAATAATTTCGTGTAAAAGATGGACTAAACTTGCTCCCCAGAAAAATCTAAGGGACAGAGCTAGGACAATTAAGAAAAACTACTTTCTAAGGCAATGAAAAGACACATGAAAGCAAGCACTGTATTGATGTCATTCTCACAGACAGAGGAATAAACAGACCTGAGCAAGTGCTTGGCACATGGCTGGATGTCGTTTTAATAATCATTAACCAATTAAACATAAGCACATTCTGAGTCAGAACAGTTCAAAGACCAAGCAGACTGCTTAGGAAGCTTGAACTTCTTGGTGGCTGGAACATTAAGTAGATGCCACATGACCACTTGCCAGAGTTACTGCTAAGGAGCCCGATGTTGTTAGCCCAGCTTACTCAACATTCAAGGTCCCTTCAAATGCTTACATTCTATAATTCTAAAAATAGTTCATAATAGAAAAAAATCTTTAAAACTATTTGTTTCAATTCAAGAAAGCCAACTTGATAAAAATATGGAAAATACTTAAAACTATGAATATATATCAAATGAACGTCAATTTCTTATTTTCTACCAACCTTAAAGACTTTTCAACAACCTGGGTTCGATAAACTTCTTCTTGGTCCAAATTTATAGTGCAGAAACAATCTCTCATTTTGTTGGGTCCAAGATAGGGCAATAAATTTTTTGCTTCATCTGTTGGCACAAAAATTTAAATTGATGTTAAATATCCTTACTTATATTACCCAAGGCTTATATATGAATTCAGTCTGGAAAAAGACATAATATGGTGTAGAGAAAAAAGCAATTGGTGATCAGAGAGGTCAAGGGGTCTAAAGGAAACTAGTAATAGTAAGACTGGGGGATGTGGCTAAACGTGATGAGCCTTCCCCGAGAACTCTATAGTAAAGTTTATTTTTTAATTAGAAGAAAAAAACCTAAATGTTTAAAAACAAAAGACTGAAGGAAGGAGCTACATATAGACACATGGGGGTCATAATACATCATTGCATCTTTCCTCTATGAAAAGGTACTCCATTCTGTCCCACAGTACTGTCTCAAGAATGTTCCTGCAATTAACCCCTCTCTTCCTTTCTACCAGGTTTCTCATTAGCACATAGACAACATTTCCCAATAAAAACAAACAAAAGAAGCAAATAACCATCCTTAATACCACCTCTTTTCCCTTGCCAAACCTCTATTTCTAGAGTCCTTTCTCAAGTCCATTCATTCTTTGGTCATCTCTAATCAGCTTCTGATCTCAATATGATACTGAAACTACTTTACTCAAGGTCATCAACGTCAATGAATGTTGCTTACTAAATCCTATGTCCAATCCTGTTCTTACTATATCCACCCCTTCCTGTTGGATTCCACACATACTATGTCCTCCACCCTGCTCACTCCCTTCTCACTGCTGCCATGTCTGCCTCCTGGGGGGTTCTGTTTGCCCCCCCCCCCCCCCCGATAAACGCCTGTAGCATACAGTGTTAGTGTTAGTGGCTCCCAGTTCTGTGTCAGCAGGCCTGACCTTCCCTCCTCCATGCTAAATGTAATTATCCTCTGGATATCCACTAGGTATCTCAAATTTAACACGTCCCAGGAAAACAATCTTATTTCCTCTTCTACAAGCTCTTCCCTTGGTCTAGCATTATTTCCCTCTCCCTCATCATTTCATGCCACTCCCTTATATATCCAGTTCACTGGCAAATCCAGAAAATCTTTAAAAAGACAAAATCTTAGCTGGGCAGTGATGGCACATGCCCCCACCACTCAGGAGGCAGAGGCAGGTGGATCTTTTGTGAGTTCGAGGCCAGCCTGGTCTACAGAGTGAGTGCCAGGAAAGGGTCCAAAGCTACACAGACAAACCCTGTCTCGAAAAACCAAAAAAGACACAACCTAAAATCCAATTATTTCTTTCCTTCACTTTTATCACCCAAATCCAAGCACTGCAACTTTTGGTTCAGACAAGCATGGCAATATCTTAACTGGTGTCTTTGCTTCTCTTGCTCTCCTACAATCTATTCTTCACCTATAGATGTGATCTTTTCTTTCCTTTTCAATGCCAGGGATCAGCCCCAAGCCTTATGTATGAATGCATGGTAGATGAGTGCTCTGCCACAGAGCCATAATCCAGACCAAGAGCGATCTTCTCATCAGATTCAAGTCAGTCACTCTGCTTCACTGCCATACCATCTGTCTGAGAATAAAATCTCACCTCTAAATCAGAGCACCCTAAGTATCCCTTCTGATCCCTTCTTTTGTTCTCCACACTGTTCACTTCTTCCCCATCAGCCATGGCAACTTTATTATTATGAGTTCTCCATGGATCTCTCTACTCCTCACAGGGCTGCTACATTTCTATCATTCAGGTCTCAGCTCAAATGACACTTGTCAGAGACCTCTTCCCTGATTGGCCTGCCGAAAGCAGATGATCCTGCTCCCATACTCTTCCTGTTTGGTTTCCTTGACAGCATTGGTAACTGGCTGAACTTCTGTTAGGAGTTTTTGCAGCTCCTATATAAGGCCTGAGAACTTGCTAATGCTCAAGATCTAAACAGTAAACATCTGGTGATATATTTGTTGAAGGAATAAAGAACCCAGTAAGTCAAGCTTTGAAGTTCTTATGAGCTACTGATGTACCAAAAGAACAGACACAAGTCTACACACTGAGATACACACCAATGTACAAATCTAAGAAGGCAAGGAAGGGGCCAGCAAGAAGGCTCAGTGTGTGAAAACAATTGTGTGCAATCCCAACTAGCTGGATGGAGGGTGCACATGAAAATATTCCCAGCATTTCTACAGTGAGATGGAAGGGAGACACAGGAGAACCACCCAGCCAAACAAGAGAGACCCTGCTTAAAAAACAAAGTGAACTGACCCCTAAAAGTTGTCTTCTGACCACTACATACATGCCATAGCATGTAGACATACCCCATTCCTATCCCCACACGTGTAATAAATAAACAGACAAATAAGCTTTTAAAAGAAAGCAGGGTAGCTTCATAAAGGAAAGAACATTAATTACCCTAAGAATCATTAGATCAATGTCTCTCTCCTACTAAGCATTATATACTTCAGAAAATCACTGAAGGACAGTTTTTCTGATGAAGGTTTGGGTTCTTTCTGCTTAAGTTTGGAGCTAACAGTTATTAAAGGCAATATTTGTAAAGTCTACTTAAGAAGCATTTATAAAAAATTCAGTAAACAAATAATATTTAAAACTTAAAATAGGAAAATTAAAGAGCCAGGTGTGGTGGTGTATGTGTTTAAGCCCAGCACTCAGGAAGCAGAGGCAGGAGGATCTGAGTTTGAAACCAGCCTGGTCTATATAGCGAGTTCCATCCATCTCAACCAGGACACTTAATAGTGAGACCCTATCTAAAAAAGAAAAAGAAGGAAAGAAGGGAAAAAAGGGACAATGGAAAGGCAACAATAAAATATTCAACTATTAAATTTATCATTGGAGACCAGAAAAAAATGAAATTACCACTTAACTATTCTAAACAAAGTTATGCTCATCCAAGTAAATCAGAATCAGGGAATCTCACCTTGTAAATGATTCCTAAACTAACTAGAATGAGATGGTATTTATAGGTGAAGCAGTTCTGTACAGGAAAAATAATAAAGAATCAAAATCCTCTGTTCACCGGGAGTTGCCCTTCCATCAGGGTTCTTTCTCCCCTGCCCCTTCTCTCACTTAGGACCTTGTCTAGAAATTCTATTTTCATTCCTCAGGCTCTTTCACATAACAGAAAATATCTGTTTTAAACCTAAGTTCACAGAGACCACCAACAAGGCCTGAAATATACAGAAATTAGAATTAGACTACCATAAATATGCTGCGTATCTAATGTGATAGCTTAGAACATTAAATCCCTGCCCTGGGCAGGTACCTGTTTTCTCCATGTTAAGGTCTATTTAGAAAATAATGCTGCATAATGTGCACATCATCTACCAATACCACCCCAGAGGGAAACGAGGGTTTTTCGAGACAGGGTTTCTCTGTGTAGCTTTGGAGCCTGTCCTGGCACTCGCTCTGGAGAGGAGGCTGGCCTCGACCTCACAGAGATCTGCCTGCCTCTGCCTAGAAATGCACCTAGCATCACTTTCTATAAAAGCAATTCTCCTAACTCGTGCTATTCCCTCAATATCTACCACTGACTGAAGTTCAAATACGCTATGCTGAAAATTAATTCATCCAATCAATGCCAAGCTCTCCAAATTAATCACACTAATATGTTTAGTCAGTTATCAGGAATTTAAACAGTAATTCCAAACTCCAGCAGTGATTAACTGTCCGTTTACAAAGTGCATTAGCCAACAGTTAGGACATTAAAGCATTGTTGCATCTGTTACATTTCTAAGCAGAAGGTAAAGGTGCTAACAGTATGGTCAAGCTACATAAAGGTGCTACACCACATGGTCAAGCTACATAAAATACAAAAGTAAAGCATTTTTGAAGCAGTACTTCCTCACAAATGGTCCTACTGTCTCCATGCAATCTTAGGAGATGTATTGGGCCAAAATAATCCATCCTCTAGCTCTAATCCTTCTCTTCTACTTGTACCTGGAACCTTCTACAATTAGCTTCAGAACCTCCTTTGTCTAGAACCTTCAAGAACACTAAAATCAAATTATTGCCTTTCGATTTCCACTTTATTTAGCCACTTGTTAGTATCTGGTAACACTGACCTATCCTGAGTTTAGGTGGCTCATTTTAAGTTGTCTTTGTTTTACTCCCTCATTTGGGTGAGGAAACTTGGTATAGACTATTAATTCATCAGATGTGAGGGACCAATTTTAGATACTTTAAAAACATGTCATTATAAAATAAAAGACTTTCCAGGCATGGTAGCACACATCTTTAATCCCAATACTCAGGAGACAGAGGCAGGTGTATGGATCTCTGAGTTCAAGGTCAGCCAGATCTACATAGTGGGTCCTAGGCCAGCCAAAGCTACAAAGTGAGACCCTCTTGAGGAAGGAAGGGATGAAGGGAGGGAGGGAAGGAGGGGGACTGGCAGGGAGGCAGGTAGGCTGACAGAGAAATAAAGACAAAGTTTCTCAACAATGTTTGGTGGTGTTATTTGCAATTCAACTTATCTATATCCTATTTAATTGTTGTACAATATATGGTGGATTAGTTGTACAACATCAGTTGTATGCCTTCTGTATTATGGAGACTCTAAAGCTAAAAAATAAGTTTCCCAGTCTCTCTTGCAGTTAGCTTTATGTTCCTAAGTCCCACTAATCAGATTCACTCACTAGAAAACTGGAAGACAGAAGAAAAAGGATGCTGAGTTTTGGTGTTTCTAGTAGCAAGCACTGCCAAAAAGATAACCATGCTAACAGCAGCACTTGCAGAAGTCCTGGTACCAGTCACAGGTTTCCTGTATATTACAAAAGAATTTACAGGGCATCCATTCTATGGTATAGGCTATGGGAGGTCTGGGTTGGATCTAGAGCCAGCAACAGTGATGATGAAGGTGGCTACCTGCTAATGGCTATTTCTTAATACTAGCACATTCCTAACCATGGCAGAGGTAGCCAAGTTCTAAGCAATAATTGGTATAAGAGCTTTTTTTTTTTTTTTAAACCAATTCTGCAGGGCTCTTTTGATTTTAAAAGAAACAGTAACTTTTTGGTGGCTTAAGATATGATTTTGCTTGTTTCTGTGAGTACTGGGGATTGAACTCAGGGCCTCACACCCAT